CTTTTTTTTTTTTTTTTTTTGAGTCGGAGTCTCACTCTGTCACCCAGGTTGGAGCTCAGTAGCATACTCACAGCCACCACAGCCTAGACCTGCTGGCCTCAGGCTATCCTTTTACCTCAGTCTTCCAAGCAGCTGGAACCACAGGCACGCACCACCGTGCCAGACAAATTTTTTTTTTTATGTATTGTAGAGACGAGGTCTTCCCAAGTTGTCCAGGCTGGTCTCGAACCCCTGGACTCAGGCAATCCTCTTGCCTCAGCCTCCCAAAGTGTTGGGATTACAGGCATGAGCCACCATGCCTGGCTCACCTTGTTAATGCTTACTCCACCCTCATGTGTGGTCACAGAACCCTTCTAAAGAGTACCTTCCCTGACCTCCCTGACTGCTTCAAATCCCCCTCTTCTATGTGCTCATAAACGTAGGCAGGTGTCCTGTGTGGTTCTTCACATCTCTGGAATTTTACATACAATTGTGTTTGCCTTTCCCCTCCACTCCACTAGAAGACATCTATATCTGATTTGTTGCACTACTGTATCTCAGTGCCTGGCATAAGGAAGCCATTAAAAAAATTTTTTTAAATTCATGTCATATCTTTGATACAAAATATTGTATTGATCTTGCTTCCAATGCACCATTACTGTGAAGACAAGATTAATTTTATAACCTAAACACAAACTGGGTTGAAAACTAGACAAATCACAGTCATAGAAATCATAATAATAAAGTAAAAATAATGAACGTGTGTTAATTACTTATTATGTACCAGGCTGTGCAAAAGATTTGTCCTCTCTAGTTCTCAAAAGGACACTGTGAGCAGTCACTAGTACTCCTATTTTATCAGTGAAGTGACTAAGTTTTAGGAGGCTGAGGCATCGCACTCAGGATCACATTAGAAAGTGGAGGAGGCAGAAATGAAACCAAGGTTTTTAACTCAGGACCTGTGCTCCCAACTTTTGTTGGGAGTACTAGTGACTGCTCAAAGTGTCCTTTTGTGACATACTGCCTTGGGCAGGTTCCCAATGGTGCTCAGGCCTGGACCAGGTGTGTTTACAAGGTAGGAGGGCGGACTTGAGGTGGAACACAGGTGTGAGGGCAGGAGAGAGCAGAGAGTAAGCAATTTAGTGAACATAACGGTTTTTATCTTGTGGTCTTAGTCAAACTAGAGTTAACATGGCTTCTCATGTAGAGCTTTGCCTAATGCTGACCTTTTAAAAGATATTGGGTTTATGACACCAGTTCTAATTTTATTATGTGGGTAAAGTTTTGGTCATGAAATGATTTGAGCATCAGCAAAATCCTGGAGAAAATTCATTATGTCATTGAAAGGAACTAGATCAAGGTGTCTCAAACAGCTGTGAGTTAAAAACTAAACAGATGCTTCTGTTTAAAAAGAATCCATTAACTGACAGAAAGAAATGGAAGAGAACAAACAGTTATTAAGCCCCTGTCATTATTCTTCTAACAATGAGAGAACAACTGTAGGATCTGGCTCAATAAACATAACAAAACTGTACAATTTAAAGCTGCCTTTTGCAGCAAGAGCCAATCTGGGACTTTTTTGGTTTTCATAAGTGTAAGAGTATATAATATCTGAATCAAACTCCCAATTTTCTGTTAAAATCTTCAACTCTAATATAAGACAATATATTATGCTCCTATATGGTAGACATCATTATTTTGCTACTATGAAACTCTTGATAAACAATGGTGTAATGACAGATGAAACTAATTTTGTATGTGGATGTCTTCCCAAAAGTTGAATGTAAATGTATTTTAATAAAGTGAACTGTACTTTAAATTCACTAAGAGAAGTATCTCTTTAAAGGAATCACAGAGGATTCTCTTTAAAAATGAATTAATCTTAAATGTATGTCTGCAAACTAACTTTTTCTTTCTTTTGAATATGAATTTTTCTGTTTTGATTGTATATTGAGTTTTTTTAATAAGGCATCTCTTTTCAGGATGATTACTTTTAAAAATTGAAAAATAACCTTGTGTTTAGCAGAGTGCTTGATGATATCAATTATTCTTACAGTAAAGGTTAGAGTATATTCATTGAATGATGACTTGAAGCCAGCCAAAAGAGAAGCTGTCTTAACTTTCATAGTAAGTATTTTATTGATTTAAATATTACTTTAACTTTTTTTCAGGACAAGAGTCTTATTCTATAACTGTGTCTTCACACTACACTAAAGTAGTCAATGTTCTATAAATGATCATGAACATTTGCAATGTGTAATAGCATTGGAGATTTTCACTTTTACAATAGACATGTGAGACCCTCATAAAAATTAAATTTCAACAACTTGAAGAGTTTTGAATGAAATCATCTAAGTATATCCTTGATGATTTTCTTTTTAAAGAACACCCATCAATCACTAAGAATTAATTGAATGTATATCATTTACAATATTTTTTATTTATACAATTTAAAATAAAAAACTATAATCCATACTACTTACTTTTAAGGAACTTAGAATTTAATGACTAATATACTAACATAGGTCAAAAATCTTGTTAAACTACGAGGCAAAAATCAGCAGTTATCAACCAGTTATGAGACATGACATAGGTCACAAATGATGTGCATTAAACTCCCATGGTCTTTATAGTTTGTGTCATACACCTAAAACATTTTGTGTGGGGAAATAAAATATAATTAGTCACAACTGCTCACTTTAACAGTAGTGGTATTAGTAATGGTCCTTCACTACAGGCTGTGGAAGGTTTTTTTGCTACTCAAAAAACCCCAAAATAAAAAAGTTATCAAAATACAAGCACAAAAGATTAGATACTGTAAAACAAAGTCATTTTAGAATATAAGCCAAACAAGTTATACAATAGGACAAATAACACATGAGCCCAGAGGGAAGATAAAATAAGGTTGAGATGAGGGATGATATAATTCTTTTCTGAAATGGAATAGGTCAAGGAAATCTTGAGCGGGGGTCTTAATGAACGGAATTGAAATAGGTTCTCTTTAAGTAACGGGCTGGGTGTGGTGGCTCACACCTGTAATCCTAGCACTTTGGGAGGTGGAGGTGAGAGGATTTTCTGAGCCCAGGGGTTCGAGACCAGCTTCATCGACTTGACAAGACCTTGTCTCTACAATAAATCAAAAAATTAGCCCAGTGTGGTGGCACACGCCTGTAGTTCCAGCTGCTTGGTTGGCTGAAACAGAAGGATCACTGGAGCCTGCAGTTCGGGGCCTTGGTGGCCTGGGCAACACAGTGAGACTCTAACTCAAATGATAATAATAACAATAACAATAATAATAATGATGATGATGATGATAAAGACCATCCCATGTAAGAAACTACACCAGTTAAGCCATGGGGGCAGGAAGAAATTAAAAATGAGAATAGTAAATAAACTGTTGACTGATAGAAAGTCAGAAATAAAATTAAGGAGAGACAATGTCAGCTCAAAAGCCCTTTTTTAAATCAAAGAATACTAGGGTGTGGACATATGCTCATTATCCAACGTCTTTGTCCAGCCTGAGTGATGTAGAATCCCTGCATCACACACACAAGAGAATGAATGTCAACCATCCCGTCTAAGAGCTGCTGCCCCAGAAAGACAGGATTGAGGAAGTTGATCCCAGAGCCGCAGAAGTCAATATGTAGAAAGTGTCCTGAAATAGTACTTGAGAAGGACGATCTTAGATGGCTCGTACACAATGGATGGTGAGATGAAGAATGGCCAGAAAATACTTAGCTACAAGTGTAATTCTTGTTCAGAATAGACTTTTCTAAGTTTTACAATTTGTAATTCAAGAAAAAAAAAATATCTTAAAATTCCAACGATGAATTTCAGTCATGGCAAAGAGTCTTAAGTTTTTGAGTTAAGGCTGAACTGGACCTCCATGTGCAGGCCAAGGAAAGTCAAACCTCACTTCAATGATGTGCTCACCCAAGCACAAAATGAAGCTTATGGGGAAGCTTTATGAAAACTATTGAGTATATTTAACCATCTTTTGTTTGTTTGTTTTTTGAATTGGGGTCTTACTCTATTGCCCAGGCTGGAGTACAGTGGCATGATCACAGCTCACCACAGCCTCCACTTCCTGGGATCAAGCAGTCCTTCCACTTCAGCCTCCTGAGTATCTGGTACCACAGGTGTGTGCTGCCATGCCAGGATAATTTTTTTTTATTTTTGTAGAGATGAGGTCTCTCTATGTTGCCTAGGCTGGTTCAAGCAATCCTCCTACCTTGACCTCCCAAAATGCTGGGATTGCAGGTGTGAGCCACTGTGCCCAGTCTGTTTAACCATTTTGAGGGTTTTATCAAACTCAGAATGTCCATACTGTACCTTTATAAAATGTCTAGCTAAGAAATACAGTTTATATAATGTCTATTTTAGAAGCTTCAAATGAACATATGTAACAATTAGATTTTGCCATTTATAAAGCCTGCTAAGTTCACATTTGGTATATTAAAAACATCGGTTTTTATTCTGTTTTGTCTTTACATTTTGTTACCCTTCTTTTTTTAGTTATACAATAGAAAGTTGAGAATAAGGAGAGATGGGAAAGGTTCAATAAAGAGGGAGGGAAGTGGCTGAAATGAACCATATTTACTCTATAACATTTAATGGATCTTCATACTTAATATTTAATTTGAAGGCATAGGTATTTGTTGGTAACTAGTTTTGTAGATCAAAGATCCTATAATCGGTTAAAAAATTTTTCATGTGGTTTCTGTGCTTTGAGTGCTTGTTTTTATTCACAGGATCCGGAAGGATCAGAAGTTGACATAGTAGAAGAAAATGATTACACTGGAATTATATCTTTTCCTGACTTCAAGATTCCACCTAATCCTAAGTATGTTAAAATATTTGCTAATAAACTTTCCTCTAAAAAGCACTTCTGGAACTTTGGCTTATGAAACAGATAACTAGTCCAAGGGAGCCCTCTAGTGTTAACAAAGGGATATGCAAACAGAAATTAAGCTATGTTTCCGGCAAAAATATTCCCAGCACCTCTCACCCTATTTACATATAGAAATAAAAGTAAAAAGAGGCAAAAACAGTCCCCAGGCTTTTTCTTATCAAAACCATCAACTCCTGCCTCTCAAGGAATCGAATCTAAAATGCTAGTGTGGTCCCATTCCTTGCTCTGGGTGTTACAAAAATATGGTCCTCTGCAGTTTTTGTCTGCATAGACTACCAGAAGGCAGAGTCCGAGAGGGCAGGTGTTCTCAGAGCCACTTCCTCCATTTGGCCTAACGTGAGGGGATTTAAGAACAAGCTTAACAGGAGTCAATGTAGTAAATATTTAGTGGACACAATCCTATTATGATTTATGTGCAAATCATAATAGGAGTGAAAAACGCAAAATAGAAAAGAAGAATCCACAGTCCCTGCTTTCAATCAATAGAGCAGGATGAATAGTATGTGTGCCTATAAACAGCTACAATTTTAAAGCAAAATCTTTGTATTGTTCTTTACCTCTGCCTTTTAAAGGGGAGTTTGCTGTACTGAAAATTTTCTAAAATTTTTATTTAACCTGGGGATTTAAATAATTTGGATAATTTTTTAATTGTGTACTTTCTTGAAAAATCCTGCATGCTCCTTAGTGCAGAATTAAACCTATTATTTTGTTATTATTATCATTTCTACAACTTCATCTTGTGCCATTGCCCCATGGCAGATTATGTGTCAGCCGTGAGAGTTCATCATGACCAGAACTTTCCTACCTCGGTCCCTTTGCACATGCTGTCCCCTCTGGTTGCAATGCGCCTCACCTGGCTCTTTATAAGCCTGCCTTCTTATCGTTTTTAGGTCACAGGGTAAACGCTGTCTTTACAATAAAGCTATTCCTGGATGCACCATCTAATATAATCTCTCACTTTTTTTTACTCTCTGTCTCAGCATCTTGTTATTTTCTTCATGACATTTACCTCAAGATTTTATTTATTTATTTATTTATTGACTGGGTTTTTTTTGTTTTTTGTTTTGTTTTTTTTTTTTTGAGTTGGAGTCTCACTCAGTCGCCCAGACTGGAGTGCAGTGGCCGCTCCCGGCCACCGCAGCCTCACTTGCTGGGCTCTGGCGATCCTTCCACCTCAGCCTTCTGAGTAGCCGGAATTACAGGCATGCGCTACCACGCCCCGCTGATTTTTTGATTTATTGTAGAGATGAGGTCTCGCTGCCCAGGCAGGTCTCGAACCCGCGGGCTCAGGCAATCCACTCACCTCAGCCTCCCAAAGGCGCAAGATTACAGGCTGAGCCACCGAGCCCGGCTATTGACTGGTTTTTTAAAGTTCCCCACTACTTTATAAACTCCTTAAGGTCACGGCACTATATGTATGGCACACTGTTGCATCTCGAGCACTTCACATAATAGGCATTTGAGACATATATGTTGAATTGATGATAATAAAAATTATTATACTATTAATATTTTTTGGCTTGCAAATAGGTATTATTTTTCCCATTTCACAAATGAAGTTACATAGCTTGCCCAAGTCAAACCTGCTCATGAATGGGAAGACAAGATTTTGAACACCCATGGACTTTGAACTCTGTAAAAGCAGGCGCTCTTCTCTCCTGCTCATTTTTTATCTCCAATGCTTAATCCACGCTCAGTATATTTTTTGAACGAAGGTTGCTAATTAAATTCAGGTCATTTTCCTCTTTAAACAAACCATACTTTTTCTCCAACCATAATTTCATTCATGGGAGGTATGAAATTTATCATTCAGATAGGCTTGACTTTTATTACATGTGTCTAGAGACATCATTATGGATTTTCTACTATATTGTGGTGTTAGTATTATGTTAACATAATTAAGCTCTGGGATTAAATAAAGTCTCAGAAATCATAAGCTCTCAAATCAAAGTTAATGACTATATTAAAATAAAATGCCTGGAAAAATAACTCAATATATGAAATAACTAATTACTAAACAATTTCTATTATCCTAAAAATGCTCAATTATTTCTATTTATTGCTTGAAAATATGTCACAAAATATTTTACTTAGGTTATATACATATATACCTTTAAAACAGGAATCTTGGCTGGTCTTGGTGGTTCAGTCTATAATCCCAGCACTTTGGGAGGCCGGAACGAGTGGATTGCCTGAGGTCGTGGGTTCGAGACAAACCTGGGCAACTTGACGAGACCTCGTCTCTACAACAAATCAAAAAAATTAGCCGAGCATGGTAGTGTGCGCCTGTAGTTCCAGCTAGTTGGAAGGCTGAGGCGGAAGGATCACCTGAGCCCAGCAGGTTGAGGCTGGGGTGGTCAGTGAGCGTGCCACTGTACTCCCACCTGGGAGACTGAGTGAGACTCCAACTCAAAAAAAAAAACACCAAAACCAAAAAATTAGATCCCGTCTGGATGAATTAAAAATATTTAATGATGTCTTTAATTTTAAATATTTTGCTTCCACAGATATGGTATGTGGACCATCCGAGCTAAATATAAAGAGGACTTTTCAACCACTGGAACTACATATTTTGAAATTAAAGAATATGGTAATTTCTGACACTTAAAAGTTTATCTATTAAAAGTTAGTGTGCTTGCAATAATTCTTTTTATTAATGTGTATAATGCAAAATTATTTTCAAATGAAGATAGGCAGCTTGGTGGCATGGTTAGAAGTACTGGCTGGGGGTTGGGGGTGGTTGTTCCAATGCCCAGTTTCTAGTTCTAGCATGTCCTTGTTAACCTTGAGAGAGCAGACCAACTTCTCTGGACTTGTGTTTCTCATCATAGTGCTGGAAGATATCTAGTCGCCTGAAAAGCTTGACTCTTTAAGGTCCTTTCTAGAATTGTGATTATTATTAGGAAAAACTTAAACAGAGATGAGATGAATAGGACCCAGTAAGACCAACAAATGTTTTTCTCAAGTCTTATAACCAATTAGTGAAAGAACAAAGACAAAGTTGGGTTTCCTTACCCCTACTCCAACACTATTTTTTGTTCTGGCTCACAAATCCCTAATATATTGATTTGAATATTTAGCATAGTCTTGTCTTGAAACCAATAATATGAATGGGTTAATAACATATAAATAGCTTGATTTTTTCATTTCTTGTAGTAGTTTACTAGAGCATTTATGTGCTCTGTTGTCAAATTTAACTTTCTTCTGCTTGAAACCATTTTGTATTCCCTCAAAAGACTCATAATAATATGGAGAAGAGTAAATACTTATACGAATTTTAACAATGAACAGCGATAACAGGCCAGTGTGGTGGCTTACGCCTATAATCACAGCACTTTGGGAGACCGAGGTGAGAGGATTGCCTGAGCCCATGGGTTCGAGACCAGCCTGAGCAACTTGGCGAGACCTCATCTCTATAATAAATCAAAATATTAGCCAGGCATGGTAGCACGCACCTGTAGTTCCAGCTACTTGGAAGGCTGAGGCGGAAGAATCACCCTCAGCCCAGCAGGTCAAGGCTGCGGTGGCCATGAGCGTGCCACTGCACTCCAGCCTAGGTGACAGAGTGACTCAAACTAAAAAAAAAAACAGTCACCAAAAAAATTTGTCAAAATGAAACTCATAATGGGGATAGCATTTCAGTATTATAAGATGAAGAGTTATAAAGATGGATGTGGTAATGGTTGCTCAACATTATTAATGTATTTAATACACTAAAAATGGTTAAGATGATACATTTTATGTTATGTATATTTTATCCCAATTAAAAAGTTGAAGAAAAAAATTAAAGTCAGTAACAAAAAAGCCATTTGAAAGTAAATTTCAGGCATGTATTTTCTAATAAGAACATTCTCCTATTCAGCCATAATACCATTATCACACCTGAGAAATCTAACACTGATTCAAGGATATTATCTAATATATAGCTTATATCCCAAAAAATTCAAAATAAAAATAAAAACAGTAATGTTATTACACAGAAAAAATTTTTTGTTAACATTCTAGCATCTTATTTCAATCTTGTTATATATTTATATTTTAATATAATTGAACACACATTATATATAACAGTGTGTTACTAGCTTTTTAATTTTTTTCAGCTATCCATGTTTATTACAAATTCTTTGATGGCATTAGCATGCTTTATAAAAATAAAAAGTGATGTGTCTAGGAAAAAAAAAAGAAACTCAACCTTAAAGATGTATAGGCTCCTTGTATCATATAATCCTAAACAATCTCCCTTCCTCCCAGTGTGTTTGCTTCATATCTAGAATTCACCACTTCTTGCAATCTGTAATCGCCCTCATCAATTCATCACCAGGCTCCTTCCCGGACTACCGCAAAAGCTTCCTAGTCTGTGTTTCATGCTTCCAAGCTATCTTACTTGGTATTAGCCAAAACAATCTTGAAATGCAAATCTCATCATGTTACTCCTTTATTGAAAAGTTGGGAGATATACAAAGGTGAATAGAAAATATTTTTTTGTTTGTTTGTTTCCAAGAATTCCACACTCTAGTGGAGGAAATAATCTATTGCCCACAATAAATGTTATAATCAAAATAGCAGCAAAGTGCCGGATTGACCTCCGATTTGTGGAGTGGGAAGGCTCCCCAGAGATACTGTGGTTGATGATGATAATGGTGGTGATGATGATAAAGTGGACATTATGTTGGTGTTATAGCTTGTCCAAAGATACCAGAAGGTACAGCTTGCTAGGTTTTAAAGGCTACTCTAATCTAAATGGTAATATTGCCTCTTTGTTTTCATTTTCAGTTCTGCCACATTTTTCGGTCTCAATAGAACCAGAAAGTAATTTCATTGGTTATAAAGACTTTAAGAATTTTGAAATTACTATAAAAGCAAGGTAAGAAAGGTGGTTTTTGTTTTTTTCCAGATTAACTAGCTAAATTGAGTGCCAACTCTGGTCAAAGATAATTGCTCACCATGAGACCTGTGACTTCTTAGCAAAGTCTGCCATGACTTTGGGTCTGACTGTCTGAGAAAACATCATGCAGATCGTTTATTTGTTTATTCTGATTTTAGCTTTGTTGGTTATTCACCAGCAACAAATGTCTAAAAGATTTCAGCTTAGTATATATGTTTAGAAACCAGCAGGACTTAGGGTATTGGAACTGAGATATGAAGCCTTTACTTCTTGTCTTTTTTAAGACTTAGTCAGCCAGCTAACGCTTCAAAGTTTGATCCAGGGCCTTGAAACCACAACCATTTACGAGTCAGTTGGGCAGTTCTGCTGAGCCAGGCTGATGTCAGCTGGGCTTGCCCATGTACCTGCAGTCAATTGGCAGGTCAGCTGGGGGCTGGCTGGCCTAGGATGGTCTTATTCACGGGTCTGGCAGTTGGCTGGGGTTAAAAGTGTGACTGGACCATGTGTTTCTCTCATCATCTGGCAGGCTAGCCTGTAGCAGCAGACATGCTCAAAGAGAGAGGAAACAGAAGCATAAAAGTCTTGAGACCTAGGGTGGGTAGTGGCACACCATTTCTTCTACCACATTGTTTTGTCCAAACCAAGTTACAAAGTCAGCCCAGAGAAAGTAGACTCTTCCGATACCCTGTGTTTGCAAGGAGCTGCAAAGACCGTGAACTAATTGGAATTAGTTTTGCAAGCTTATGTCATGGGAAAATGGCAATTTAACATAGTTATGAATAACCAATTTTTGTAACTCTATGTGCCAGACACTTTTCTTAGCATATATTAACATGTTTAAATTTTAAACAACTCTGACGTAGATACTATGACTATTTCCATGATACAAGTTAAAAACTGAGGTACATAAATGCTAAACAATTTGCTCAATATCACATAGTAAGTTGCACAGCCCATATGGTTCCAGAGTCTCTGCCTCAAATGCTACTCTCTACTGCCTCTCTAATTAGAATTTATTCTGAAAATAAAGTGCTTGTCACTTAGTCTAAACCAGCATAAAAGGCTCACTTGAGAGTAAATGATAGAAACTGACTTCTTGGAATGGAGACGATTCATTTGCTCAAATCATGAATAAGAAAACTTAGTTCTTGCTGCAGTATTACTTGCTAATGTAGAAAGCAATATAGTTTGAATTTTTTAAAAAGAGGATTTATCTCATACAACAGTGAGATTGAACATGTACCTTTTAAAGACATAAAAGAAAATAGAGACTAGGTACCCATTGACATGAAAATTACCACAGGAATAATGTGGCCTATAGGAAGGGGCTCAGGATATGAGTCTTTTGATCTCCCCAGGATCTTTTCTTAAATCTATAGCACATAGTAATAAAAATCCATACTCAAGCTTTATTATTATGACTTTATGAGGATGAAATGTGATAGTGCATGCAAGGCTTTTTAAAGTATATCAAGTGCTTTACGTAATTTCGGATTGTTATATTTGATCAGAATCTTATTATTGTAACCATGCTAGCAAAACAATTTATGCTATTGTTTTACAGATATTTTTATAATAAAGTAGTCAGTGAGGCTGACGTTTATATCTTTTTTGGAATTAAAGAAGACTTAAAAGATGATCAAAAAGAAATGATGCAAAAAGCAATGCAAAACACATTGGTAAGACGTGTGGAAGACACATTCACTCATACCTAGGGATACGTTAGGATGTGAGAGATGGAAAATTAGCTCAAAACCGTCTAGTTCAAGTCCATCTAGTTCACTTATATAGGTGTGGAAGTTGAGATCGGCTTAAGATCCTCTGTTGGCTTCCTCTTGCTCTTGGTGTAATGACCACTTTCCTTGGCGTCAGCCTCTTTGCCAGCTGATCTCCTGCCACTTCCTCCTCCCCCCTTTTATCAATCACTCCACTTTTCCTAACTTACCACAGTCACTCCTGCCTCCAGGTCTTTGCAATGCTGTTCTTTCTGCTTGGGAATGCTCCTTCCCTTTGTCCTCTCCTACCCCTTCTTTGTCTGGTTACTCTCTTCTCATTCTTCAAGTTTCAGCATTGACTCCCTTTCTCTGGGAAACCTCTTTGACTCCCGTTCCCGCTATATGTCCTTAGGCCTGAGCCTCTCTGATTGAATCATTTTTCATGGTTTATTGCAGTGGTTCTCAACCAGGGATGATTTTTACCCCCAAGAGAACATTTGGCAAGGTCCAGAGACGTGTGACTTCTGGCCTATAGTGGGCAGAGGCCAGGGATGCTGCTAAACTCCTACATTGCACAGAGCAGGCCCCTACAACAAAAATGATCCTGTCTGAAATGTCAGTAATGCTGAGGTTGAGAAACCTTTCTTTACTGGAATGCTTTATTTACTTATCTATCATCAAACTCTTTGTGGGTCTGAATAATTCCCATTATATGCCCAGAGACAGCAACATTTCTTGCAAAGAGTAAGTGCTCTATAAATATTTGTGAAGTTATTTGTCTATAGTTAAGAGCTAGTGGTTGCTGGAACTGAGATTAGAGCCCTCACCCCCTTTTCCCTTATTCAGCATTCTGGACGTTATATCACAGGTGACATGAGTTTATGCCATTTTTGCTCGCTGTTGCATATTCATATGTTTTGCACTATCAGTTATTTAGCCTCTGCTTTTTCAAAAGACTTACTTACATAATTATTCCAGACAAAAATTAAATAACTTTTGGAAATGCAATTTTCTAAGCTAGACACTGAGATTTGAAGCTAAATAAGACAAAAATGCTTGGCCTCAAGTCATTCAATTTTAGAAGGAAAAATAGGGCAGCATTTATTTTACTGGTGTGTTAAAAATTAAATACTACATATGACTTAACTCCATAGCCCTTTGCCCATTGTGTTCTTGTAAATTTATTTTTAAATTTGTGAGCCGTGAAGTACAAATTAAAGGTTATAAAATCCAGCAAACTCTCAGTTAAGGGCAGAAGTAAGCTAAGAGTCCCAGAAAAATGAATGATGACTCAGGAATCAGAATAAGGCATGTTTGTCAGCTGGTACCAAAAAGACCTGTAGGACCATGTGATGTTCAAAGACACTTCTGCATCTATAGTTTTGTACAAATAAATTGGAAAATAGCATTTCAGGCTTAACTGTGGACTCAGTTATTCACTTTAGTGGTAGTGCTAAACCATTCCTCTGACATTTGCCTTTAATTTAGAAGCTAGCAAAAGCAGATTTTGCTAATTTTTTCTTATAAGCTCCTCTCTAAAATAACTCTTCCGTTTTTCCCTTTTCAAAAGTTGACAAATGGAATTGCACGAGTCACATTTGATTCTGAAACAGCGGTGAAAGAACTGTCCTATAACGGTCTAGAAGATTTAAACAACAAGTACCTTTATATTGCTGTAAATGTCATAGAGGCTACAGGTAAATAAATTGTGTGTGTTGTGTACTTTCTTTTGGGAAATAATTAGAATATAAAGGTATAAATAATTTCTATCATTATTTCGTATTTTATTTTATAGTTAAATTTTACGTTTAACATTATTATAAAATGTAGATTTGTATATCTTTATAAAAAGACAATAGAGCTCTGTCTCTCTGTAGTCACTGGGCAAGATGGGGTCCCTAGTCCTTCAGCTGCAAAAATAACACCACCCAATTTATATACAAAATGGCTCTGCTAGCTATCTGGTTTGAACACTTGGCACCCTAGTGCTCTCCTCTGGTGAGAACCAAAACCAAAATGAGGTTATGTGTTTAAAAATCTTTAATAAGCTCTATACAAATGAAGGGTCTTACTATTATCATTGTTTTGGTCTCCGTCTCTGTACGATGGCAGAGTTTAACTAAGTGCTTCCTAGAACTTAAAGTTTTCAATCTTATTTTAATATTTCTTTCTTTCTTTTATTTTTTCCTCAACTTATTTCAAATAAATTCAGTTTAAGCAATGTTTATGAGATATTTAAAGAGTGTTGCTAAACATGCAGGCCTGAGAATATGATTGGTGTATAATCCCAGCACTCAAATAGTTTACAAACTAGCATCTGGTATAAGACAGCAAACCACAAACTCTGTTACAAGAAAGAATTCCATATGTATTCTAAGCAAAGAACTTAATGCTATTGACCTTCAGAGGAAGGTGAGCTTCTAGATGATTGTTGAACAACCAAGAACAGTGCAGTGAAGATGATCCGTCTTGAAGGATAAGTAGGGTTTTGAGACAGGGATGGTAGACAGGGTAAGCGTTCACCCTCCATGGAAAGCGTAGGCCAGGAAGGGTAACGTGTGAATCTTGATTTTGAGGACAGCAGCTCATCCAGTTTGGCTGAATTACAGGAAAGCTACATTGGCTACTTGGGATGTAATATTGGAAAGGAGTTTGGGGATGCTAGCATTTCATGTTATTCTTAATAGCTTAACTTAGCCATTGCTTTACTAAACTCTGGTGTGTCCCTGTGGCTCTTTCAGTTATGGCCGCCATTTTTCTTGGCTCTGGCCCCTTCCCCTGCCTTGGGGAAGTGAGTCTCTCTCTCTCTCTCTCTCTCTCTCTCTCCATTTGTTAGTGTTTGGCTAAGCTATGGTCTGGTCATGTGATCTTTGAGCTATGGCCAGGCTATGTTTTCTTAAGCTTTGACCCCCTCTCCTACCTTGAGGAGGTGAATCTTCTCTCTCTTTTCTCTACTTTGCTTTCTAAATAAATTATATTTTTCCAGTCTAAATGCTGTGTAATTCTTTGCAGCTTTCATGTGGCACAGGATTACACAACCCCACCCTGGTCATCTGACCTAACATTTTGGAGCCACCACTGGGATATATATTTTAACTGAACAGTTGCAAAAATCGGCCTAGTGCAGTAGCTCATGCTTGTAATCCCAGCACTTTGGGAGGCCAGGAGTTCAAGTGCAGCCTGGGCAATTGCGAGACACTGTCTCAAAAAATAAAAATAAGAGAAAGAAAGAAAAAAGTTCAATTTAATTTTTTACCTAGAGGGTAATACTACTGTGCTCTTTTGAGTAGACCCTCAGAGTTCTTTCTACATCGGGCTCTCATTTTCTGATTCTTCTCCATTTCTCTTCATATCTCTGAGCTCTATGAACCCTGTAAGGCTCCGCTTGTGAACTACCCTTTCCTTTTCTCCTCAATCCCTTGAACATATTCAGTTCAAGAAAAGTGGTGCTCTTTCCTCGCATTTCCCCACAGTCCAGTCTCCAGTGTATAGCTCTACTTCTGCAAGGCAACTCCAGAGGTCTAAACTCTTCTCTGTGCTGGCCCTCTGAACCATGTCCTACTTACTATAGGTAAATGGATGAGTGCAGGAATGGAGTGAGTGAATGATTAAGTCTGTGGAGGCATACAGAGACCAAATAGACATCCATACAGGTTATGATAATTCTAAAAAATGTCAGCATGATGCTTATCATTTCCTTAGGTGGATTTTCTGAAGAGGCAGAAATACCTGGCATCAAATATGTCCTTTCTCCCTACAAACTGAATTTGGTTGCTACTCCTCTTTTCTTGAAGCCTGGGATTCCATATTCTATCAAGGTAGATGGCGGGGGGACCCTACTGAATATGATTATCTTTTTTCTGTTTATGGAAAGCACGTGGGTGGCAAACGGGAGAAGGATGCTGGAGTGATAAGTCACAGAGGGATCTCATTCTGTAAAACCTGCCTCTCCTATGGATACAGACAGGGTGAGAAACTGCCAGCCAGCTGTAACCTTGGGAGTGGCCTCAACAGTTAGGGCAACATAGCCTTGTGTTGGGTGAGCATTGCATTAAATGATGTGTAAATAAAACTCTACACCTACAGTTCAAAGAATACTAGCATTTAAAATTATTTGGTGGCAAGTTCCTAAAAATCTTGAAATGGAGATATCATTCCTTGAAAATAGGCCCTTTTCTCTCACCATTTTTCACTTCCAGTGTATCTCTGAGTGTGTATTTCTGTGTTTATTACTTCATCTGTGTATTTGTGCATAACTGTATTGCTCTCTGTCCTTTCCATTTTTGACTTCTCTTTCTAACTTCTTTTTTTGTTGTTTTCGCTTACTCCTTCCTGTTTAATTTTTATCTCCTTCCTCCACTTTTCTTTTTTTAAATGCCGACAGTATGGAGTTGGAACATTCATTTGATTTTTTAATTATATTTGGTATTTATTATATTGTATTTGTATTATACATAGCATATTATTTGTATGTGAAAATTTTTGTGCTCTGCTCTTAGAAAGCTAGAACACTTTTTTTATTCTTTGAAAAAATGTTAGTTTAAAATATCAACTTAAGTATAATTAAAATGTGTTACTTATACTTATTGTGGATCACTGGCCTTTAAGAGAAAAAGATTTACCAAGCCTAAAGCAAGTTTTGGACATGCTTGTAGGTTCTTAATACATATACAATATATAATACATATAATAAAATATAATGTCATATAATATATAGTAATGCATAGTATATATAATAAAATATCATAGAAAATATATTATAGAGAATATAAATTTAAAATATATTTTATAATACACATAAAAATAAAATAAAATATCTTTTTAGAAATTATATAAATATATATATGCATGATGGTGAGAAGTAAAAGTTAGGGAAACAAAAAGGTATATCTATTTATCATTTCACATATCCAAAAGAATAATTCACAAAAGTAATTGCTTCATTTTCTTTTTTATCCAGTCCTAAACCAATCAAACAAATCCACAAGCTAGATAGCAGAAGACCTTATCACATCTACTCCTCAGCTGACTTAATAGAATGATATTAATGTTTTGAGTGCTTGATAAATGGAAGATTAATTCAAGAATAATTTAACTAGGTAGAATCAAACTGTTCTATAAGCTGAGAACACACTTCTCTTTATTGAATTAAACATACATAAGCCAGACGTGGTAGCACATGCCTGTAGTCCCTGCTACTCTTGGAGGCTGAGATGGGAGGATCATTTAAGTCCAGGAGTTTGAGGCTAAAGTGCATTGTGATTGTGCCTGTGAATAAGCACTCCAGTCTGGGTAATATGTTTCGACCCCTTCTCAGGAAAAGAAAAAACAAAGTCTAAGAAAAAAAATTGACCATTGCTCTGTTAAACTCTGATGTGTCCTTGTGGCTCTTTGAGCTATGGCCACCATGTTTCCTATGTCCTAGCCTTGGCCCCCTACCCTACCTTGAGGCAGTGAATCTCTCAATCTCTCTCTCTCTCTCTCTGTGTCTCTCTCTCTCATTTACTTTCTAAGTAAACTATATTTTCCATTCTAAAAAAATTTATACTTTAGTAGGGAGAAAAGAAAATTATTTCAGAATTGTTAGGCTTTAAAAGAAGTGATGAACTGTTGACGTTGATTTGGATTGTTTTGACAAACAGGTGCAGGTTAAGGATTCGCTTGACCAGTTGGTAGGAGGGGTCCCAGTAACCCTGAATGCACAAACATTCGATGAAAATCAAGAGGCAACTGACTTGGAGCCAAGGAAAAGTGTAACACGTGTCACTGATGGAGTAGCTTCGTTTGTGGTTAATCTCCCATCTGGAGTGACGGTGCTGGAGTTTAATGTGAGCAGAATTCTCCTGCTCTATTTTCTAGGACAGTGTGTACTTTTGACTGTATGTCTTGGCTAGTATGCAGAACAGATGCGGCAGATTTTATACCCCAGTTTAGCGAGAGGCTTCACAGTTTTGCATCCAAAACAAATGAATCCTGGAGACAATCTGCTAATCCACTGAATGGTTCTTGAGGAAGATAAATCTATCAATTTTTAAAATTGAGAACCAAAACTAATTATTTTGTCTCACATCAGTAAGTCTATATCAGACTCTAGAAGCTTAAGAATAGGTATAGCAGTGGACATGCGTGATAGGAATAGCCTCCACCCCCCACTTTTAATCTCTTTTCAAGGTCACAAAGGAGTCAAATGTGGAAGAGTCCCTTTTTTCTGACTGCAGGAACCACTCTACTTTACAGCTCACTTAGTGGTCTTCTCTACCAGCAAATAATATTTTTAAGTTCCCAATCTCAAATAAAATACGAGTAAGTTAATAACACAGGCCAACGAGTACAGCATGCATGTGTTCACTATCATCCACTGAACGCTTACGAAGTGCTAGACAAGAGCTTTATGAAAAACGCATTTAATACCCATTTAATCAGCAATGTGAGTTAGAGAATATTGTCTTTGCCATTCTGTGGCAGAGGAAATGGAGGCTTCTGATTAAATCACTTATCAGAGTTAAAAAGTGGCTGCACAGGAATACAAACCCATGTGCCACTCCAGAGTGTGTAACCCTTCTGCTGTCTGAAGATAGATATTGCTGCCATATTATTTCTGCCCTACCCCATGTTTATAAGCACTCCTCTAATTCACAATGAAAACTGGACCTCAAGAGTTCGTGTTGCCTCTCCACCCCTTTCCTTCTCCTCCCTCCATTTTCTGCCATCTCACCTCATAGGAAAAGTCCTTAACTTACCATCACATTTTAGGAATAGTGTCAGTACCTGGTGAAATGAAGAGAACGCATCTTTCTCTCTTCACTTCACCAGACTTTTCCACTATAGCCCATAATCCTGTTGTCCTTGTTCATAGTCTTTGTAAAGTTACTTGATACCATAGCTATAGAATCACTGAAATAATGGAGTGGTTTTTTTTCTTCCTTCAGCATTTGGTATTGTGAAATCTAGAAATGTATAAAGCAAAGAAAGGAATTTAAAAGGTATGTTTTGCAGAAAACGTTTCACCAAATTCCACGTCTTTTTGAAATTTTCCTTTTCAGGTCCAAACCGATGACCCAGATCTTCCAGAAGGAAATCAGGCCAACGAAGTTTACCGAGCAATAGCATATTCGTCTCTCAGCCAAAGTTACCTTTATATTGATTGGACTGAAAACCATAAAGCTTTGCTCGTGGGAGAACATTTGAATATTATTGTTACCCCCAGAAGTCCGTATATCGAAAAAATAACTCACTATAATTACTTGGTAAGTAGAGCAGTATTAGAACAATCCCTTACATTTGTATTTACAAAGCACTTTCAGGGACATCATCTAACTTGAATATCAGTTTTTAAAAAACCTTTGAGATAGGGCATGATTTTCATGACCGTTTCACAGATGAGCAAACTGAAGGACAAAGAAATTAAAAGACACAATTGTCACTCGGGTCAGAAAGCTTTTGATTTGAGCTGAGGGAACTCTGACTCCTGATCTGATAAGTCCTTTCATCAAAGACAGCCCAATTACTCCACAGAGAGAACCTGATTAACTTACCTAAGCTCTGCTCTATTTCATGGCTGAAGATTACATGCCTAGATTTAGTACATTAAGTGCATTTCATTGTCATAAAAGGGGATACCCAAATCCTGCTCTTAAGTGTTGGGTCCTGTCACGCCTGTTCCAGTTATACACTCAGCAACATCCCTATTGCATCACTTATATTGAACAGGAGGTGGAGCAATCAAGCCTGTTTTGGAAACCTAGGGAAAAAAATATGCAAAAAATGTTAAGGGCTTCCTGACAATCGCCAAAGCAATGGAGTGAATTATTCCAATGGCAAGGCCAAACAGGTGGTGATGGCTTTCTCAATATTTTTGAGGAAGAAATTGAAGGAAAAAAAAAATTGGCCGAGTACAGTGGCTCAAGCCTGTAATTCTAGCACTTTAGAAGGCCAAGGTTAGAGGATTGCCTGAGTCTAGGGGTTCGAGACCAGCCTGGGCAACTTGGAGAGACCTCGTCTCTACAATAAATCAAAAAATTAGCCGAGCGTGGTGGCGATGCCTGTAGTTCCACTTACTTGGAAGGCTGAGGCTGAAGGATCGCCGGAGCCCAGCAGGTCAACGCTGGGGTGGCTGTGAGCATGCCACCGCACTCCAGCCTGGGCAACAGAGTGAGACTCCAATTAAAAAAAAAAAATTAATGAGGATCATAGAAAAATACTGACTATTGAAGTGTTAGGGAAACTTTATGGACTATGTACCAAAATCATGTATGTAGTACTGTTCTCTAAGGTCAATTTAAGGGATCCTTTAGGACATTTTGACTTCTTGTGATTTTTTTTTAAACTTACACCTTCAGTTTAAAATCCAATCTCTGTCTTTAAAATGTAACCCTCAAATAAGATGATATCCACTCCATTTATTCACCTATTTTTTTTAAATAAATGAAGCAAAGGAGGTTTTAGTGGTAGTGTGATGACTTTAAACAGAGCTAGGTTCAAATTTTAGCTCTCTAATTTGCTAGTTATAGGATTTTGAATTAAAATCAGTATAACTTTTAGTTAATTCCTGAGCCTCAGTTTTGTCAATGAGAGTAATATGTATATCCTACTGGTGTACTGTGAGAATTAAAGGAGTTAAATAAATGTTAAAGCTCCTGGCACATAGTGTGCCCATACATGTTAACTTTATTTTTCTTTAATAATTTCTACTCCAGCTCCAAGCTCCATCCTGAAGCACAGTTTTTGTTTTTATACTTACTGTTGTTGCTGCTGTTTATTTTTAGATTTTGTCCAAGGGCAAAATTGTACACTTTGGCACAAGGGAAAAACTTGCAGATGCATCTTACCAGAGTATAAACATTCCAGTGACACAGAACATGGTTCCTTCAGCCCGTCTCCTGGTTTACTACATTGTCACAGGAGAGCAGACAGCAGAATTAGTGTCTGACTCAGTCTGGTTAAATGTTGAAGAAAAGTGTGGCAACCAGCTCCAGGTAAGCCATCAATTATGACTCACAATTGAATTTTTTTCCTGAATGAAGGAGGCTGTCAAAGCAGATGCCTCTGAAAAGTTCTGTCTCATACAAGGAATCTCGTCTTTTCTTTTTCAAATGAAATTTTAGGTAAACCTGTCTCCTGGTGCAGATACATATTCTCCAGGCCAAACTATGTCTCTGAATATGGCAACCGAGCTGAACTCATGGGTGGCATTAGCAGCAGTGGACAGCGCTGTGTATGGAGTGAAAGGAGGAGCCAAAAGACCCATGGAAAGAGTTAAGTAGTGCATGCCTGTGGTGTGGCTCAATGCACGCAGGGCTTCACGAAGTGTGGCCCAAAGTATGGGGGAAGAATTAAGGGAAGACTAGATCTGCTTTTCTATAATCTTCTCAACACAGTAGTTCTTAGGAAGATAAGGTAGCCTCATGTTAGTTCCCAAAACACAGGTCAACCTCTTTTTGTTTTTTTCCTATGGAGATTTAAGCATTTTAAAAACATTATCTAACTAGGCAGGCACAGTGGCTCATGCCTGTAATCCCAGCACTTTGGGAGGCTGAGGCAGGGGATTTCCTGAGCCTAGGAGTTTGAGACTAGCCTGGACAACTGGTGAGACCTTGTCTCTACAATAAATCAAAAAATTAGTTGGGTGTGATGGCACCAGCCTATAGTTCCAGCTACTTAGAAGGCTGAGGTAGAAGGTTCACCTCAGCCCAGGAGGCAAGGCTGTGGTAGCCGTGAGCATGCCACTGCACTCCAGCCTGGGTGACAGAGTAAGACTCCAACTTAAAAAAGAAAAAAAAAAAAACCGTGATCACGATAGCAGTTACATTCATGGAGCAAAAGTGCCATCCATGAGAAGAATTTGGGAATTTGAGGTGAAGTGGTAATGGTGGTTATAGTATCTAGTAGCAACACAAGAAAAAACTTTTGAATTTTTAAAAAACTCCTGTTAAAATCTGTGGCACAGAAGAATTTAAAAATTATTCAATTCTCCTAAGTTCTTATTTATCTCCATTACGCCCAGCTATTATTTTCTAGACTTGAATTTCTTTGAACAAGGAAGAAAAAAAACCGAGAATCTTTAAAATAAAAAAATATTCAGAGAGAAAAGGACATTAGGGGTCAAAATTAAAACTGGAGGAAGCCCCCAAACAAGTTCTCATCCATTTAGAACCCAAGACCCTCCCCACCAAAACACAAGAGGTTGTTCTTTTTTTAAAGCAACTTAAAAACTAATTTCTTTGTTAATTCACCCCTTCATACAATTGTACCGATTATTTATTTAGGACATTATATTGATTGCAGTATATATTCTATGTACAAAACACCATGGGTCAGTTTCTAAAACCACTTCATCCAAGCTACTTATTAAGACTTAGTTATTGAGTAACTTTTAAATAAGTATGAATTTACAAATGCAAAAATGACAAATTTAGAAGCAAAGTTGGAAAATTTATTTTTTTCATTTGATCAATGAGTCACCTGTGTATTTCACTGGTTTGTTATAACCATGTAAAAAACTAGTACCTTTTAATTTTTTGAGGGAATCTTTTATTTATCTGAATAGGCTCAACATTTTGCCTTTCTGGACAGGTATTTCAGGTTTTAGAGAAGAGTGATCTGGGCTGTGGGGCCGGTGGTGGCCACAACAATGCAGATGTGTTCCATCTAGCTGGACTTACCTTCCTCACCAACGCAAATGCAGACAGCTCCCACGAAAGTGGTAACGTGCTCAGCACTTTTACTACTGAAATTCACTTTGATCACTTGCCTCCCCAGACCTCCTTTCTGTTCCTCTTCCAGAATAGTCTCTGCATTGATCTTAGAGTGCCATGACTATGTGACTCTCCTGTTTAAAATATTTAATTGGCTTTCAGGATAAAGTACAAAATCTTTAGTGTAGTGCCCAGAGCCATCCATGATCTTCTCTGCAGCTCTCTCCAGCTATCTCTTACTCTGCTGTGCTTTACCTTATGCCTAAGCTACACAAAGGACCAAGTGTCTAGTTTCTGAGTGGCACTGTGCTGTTTCACACCTTTGGGCCTTTGTTCGTTGGTACTGCTTTCCCCTTGTTATCCTGGAGAAGCTAGCGTAAAAATCATCTTCTCTATGAGAACTTTTTGCCATATAGAATTGATTTCCCTCCTCCTTTAGTAGGGAGGGTGTTGTAAGGACTAGATATATTTACAAGTAATATCAATAGCAATGTGTCGTTACACATTCTTACACTTAGCTATAAGTCTTGTCTCACCAATGCACTGTGAGCTCTTTAAGAACAGGAACCTTATCTTAATCCTCTTTTATCTATGGTTTCAAAATGGTTTATAATTATACTTGATACTATGGTATTCATATTTATATTTGTAATAATGTAGCACAAAGAGCAAATAATAAAAATAGCATGCCCAACAAAAACCTTGTTTACTTTAAATGCTTACGTATTTCTCTGTAATCAGTGGATCAAAAAGGTTGCGAGATTCAAAACCAATTCGGACAAAACAAGTCAAACTACATGACACTGGATCGTGACCTCCACTAGGGATAAAACAAGTCATATTAAGTAAGATGCGTGGTGCACAATTTCTCATCTTAAGTAGGCTCTCATTATTTGTTGAATGAATAATTTGTGAATGTTTTGAATGCTTAAATAATTTCATGCAATTGTTTGACATTTTTGTCTCCTTTTTAATCCATCGTCTTTGTCTTTTTTTTAAACAGATGAGCCTTGTAAAGAAATTCTCAGGCCAAGAAGAACACTGCAAGAGAAAATACAGGAAGCAGGTACTCTAAAATTCATATGATTATAAAAAGATTATGTTAATATCATTCAAAAGCTGGAGAAAATGAAATATTCCATAATTTACCCTAATTCAAATAGAATGAGTGAAAAGGAAGGTATGTATGGAGGTCTAGCTCATCTCTCTGAAAGATTAATCCAAATAATTCTTGTAGTTCATTTGTCATGTATTTAATCTGAGGAAAATAGGTCTTTATTACTTCTATCTCTAAAATCCAAATATTAACCTTTGTTAGAAATATTTTATCTCTACAAGTTTCATCTAACAATTAAATTCTTCCATTTTACTCTGACAAAATACATGATTTGATTATCTTTGGGTTATGCCTAGAAAACCATTACTTCTATTTCATATACTTAATAGTCATAACATTTGGGATTATTATATGGAAAATATATCTAATGGGAATTATTTTAAAATAATTATTTAAGTGATATGTGGTAATTTGGCATGTCACAGTAGAAAAAAAATCAAACAGGGAGTTAGTGAAATGAGATCAATTAATAATAATGCTTGTAGTAATATAATAATTTCTTCCATTTGTGTATGAGTTATTTTAATTCTAACCCTTATTCTAAGTTCTGACATAAAAAGAAACGCATTGACTAATATGAGTACTTATAATGAAGGATGATGCCAGTAGTAAAAGTCCACAAACCATGTTATAGAAGAAATTTTTGAAAATAATAGCATATTTAGCTTAAAGAAAGAAATATTTGTACAGTGATAATACTTGAAGGCTTCTTGGATATTTAACTTATTTTCCTCAAAGAGTGCTGAACCCAAATAGCCAATTTCAAGAGTTAGTATTAGCTTAGTTGCAGGAAGCCTTTTAACCTTTGAGTATGAATTGGAATGGACCATCTGGTGAGGTCAGATTCTTCTCAGTCCTAGAGCAGTTCCAGGGTGAGTCTTGTCTGTCAACTACCACGGCTATGGTCGATAGGGGTGTCATATGGCAGTAGAAACCAGGTATTGCTTGATTCCTTCTAAGTCTGAGATATCATGACTCTATGCATGATCAAGGGCACTTGTATTATTTTACCATTTCAGCTGCTAAATACAAACATCGAGTAACAAAGAAATGTTGTTACGATGGAGCCCATCGTAATGATGATGAAAGCTGTGAACAGCGAGTAGCCCGGGTTACCATAGGGCCAATATGCATCAGAGCTTTCAACGAATGTTGTATCATTGCAAACCAGTTTCGTGCAAACCACTCTCATAAAAATATGCAACTGGGAAGGCTACGTAAGTATGATGTTTTCTATCAGAATTCTACCCAAGAATTGGGGGAATTTTATATAATTCCATGCTGCCAAGAAAGGCAGCTTTCATGCTCTATTTACAATTGAAAGTAGAAAAGATAACTTGGAAATGCCTATAAGAAAAGAATCTGTCATTCTTGGGAATCAGAAAAAGTATAGTACAAAGCAGAGTACACTAGTTCAGAGTCAAGACCTGGTATAAATTTAAAGCTAGATCATCCCGTAAATTTGGATGATTATGTATCCTCTCTGAGCCTCAAGCAAGAAGCCTCAGCCAGATCATCTCCTCCAATAAGGCTATGAGTTCTAAAATTCTATGGTTCTATGATATTACAACCATTAGAAATTCCGTTTATACCTACACTGACTAAATATAACACAAGATTTCTAAAGCTAGCATAAGGTAAAGTGTACTTATATAAAAGTCGATAAATAACTTCAGTTTCAACCACAATACATGTTTTCAGAATTTATAGAACTCTCATGAATATACGTTCAGAACTTTTGGGACTTTCCTTCCATTTACATATAGTCTTTGACAAAAGAAGCAAAAGCAGTACGATAGCACCTGTTTTATACAGACATGTGCCACATAATGACGTTTTGGTAAACAATGTACTGCATATGGTAGTAGTCTCATAAGATTATAATATGGTATTTTTTTACAGTACCATATTATAAAAAGGGGCTACCCCCAAAAAACCTGGAGTTGTCTTTTGGAGGGCAGTTCCCTTGTAGTACAGACTTTTCCTGCTAAGTAAGTGTTCTAGGAACCTATCAGCAGCAGTGTGCCAGCTAGCATTGGTGTGAGAGGCTGCATTTGGCTTCAGTGAATTTTTTTTTTTTTTTGAGTTGGAGTCTCACTCCATCGCCCAGACTAGAGTCACGTTCACAGAATCCTGGCCTTGACCTGCTGGGTTTCAAATAGCTGGAACTACAGGCAAGCACTACCACATCCAGCTAATTTTTTTGATTTATTGTAGGGATGAGGTCTCACCATGTTGCCCAGGCTGGTCTCAAACCCATGGGCTCAGGCAATCCTCTCACCTCAGTCTCCCAAAGTGCTGGGATTACAGGCTTGAGCCACAGAGACCCTCCAGCATTTTTTTTTTTTTTTTTTTGAGATTCTTTCAACACCTTTGACCATTTTGTGATGGATGATTTATGAGTGCACCTGCCCACCCCACATGGACTTTTCAGCAGTTTTTGACCAAAACCTGCATGATCCCTGTGTCCTACCCTCCCTATTCACTCAATCTCGCCCCAGTAACTCTTTTCTGTCTCCCTTGATGAAAAAAGTCCTCAGAGGGAAACGTTTTGCCGCTGGAAAGAGGTGAAACCAAAAAAATGGCAGAAGCACTTTAGTGCTTCTTTAGATGCCCTTTAAGGCGTAAAAATTGACTAGTCCAAAAACTGTTTTGAGCAGTGGAAAAAGAGTCTTAATAAGTGCATTGCATCAGACAGAGAGTGCTTTGAAGGTGACTGAAGTTTAAACATGTAAAAATAAATACACAATTTTTAAAAGTAAATTCTAGGTTTTTTGGTGTCCCCCTCATATATATATGTGTATATACAGAGGGTGCCAAAACATGTACACACATTTTAAGAAAGGAAAAAACTGCATTAACATCATAAGACTCAATATATACCGATAACAAAAGATGAATACAAGCCATGATTGACTTCTGTAATGACAAGAAGTGCTCAACGTGATTACCCTCTGATTACGGCAAACTACGGCAGGACTTGTTGCTGTGTGAGGCCTTCAGGATCTTCCCTTGTGCACATCACACACAGTGCCACTCATCTCAAACTTATGAATGCATGCAATTGTTAGGCGTGCTGGAGGTTCTGTTGCATACTCATGCCTCCATTGTCTTTGTACTTCCACAACATTCTCGAATTTCAAATACCACTTCAAGATGGTCTTGCAGTCCTCAAACAACAACTGTGCTTCCGCCATTTTCTTTGTCCTGCCTTTCGCATGGTGACATTAGCATTCATTTGATTAATGGCATTTTTTTTTTTTTATTGTAGAGACAAGGTCTCACCAAATTGCCCAGGCTGGTTTCAAACCCCTGGGCCCAGGCAATCCTTTCGCCTCAGCCTCCCAAATAACGCCATCTTTTGAGTGAACATTATACTGCACATTGCTACTGTAATTCAATTCAACTTCAAAAAATAACACATAGATAATGTCTCTGAAAAGTGTATATATTTTTTTGGCACCCTTGGTGTGTGTGTGTGTGTGTGTGTGTGTGTATTTTTTTTTTTTGAAGAAAGGAAAAAACTGTATTAAAATTATAATAGTCACTATATACTGATAATAAAAGATGAATACAACTCACGTTTGACTTCTACAATGACAAGAGGTGTTCAAAGTCGTTACCATTACCATAAAAGTAATACATAAGATAACATCTCTTAAAATGTGTATACATTTTTTTGGCACCCCATATATTATATTATGTGTGTGTGTGTGTGTGTGTGTGTGTGTGTGTGTGTGTGTGTGTGTGTGTGTACACACATATATATAGCTGTGTGTTTGTGTCAGGATCTCATTCTGTGTGTGTATATACACATACATATGTGTGTGTGTGTGTGTGTGTGTGTGTGTGTGTGTGTGTGTGTGTGTATGTCAGGATCTCATTCTGTCACCCAGGCTGGAGTGCAGTGGCATGCTCACGGCTCACCACAACAGTCTCAACCTCCTGGGTTCAGGTGATCCATCTGCCTCAGCTTCCTGAGTAGCTGGGACTGCAGGCAAGTGCCACCATGCCTGACTAATTTTTGTATTTTTTCATAGAGATGAACTCTCACCATGTTGTCCAGGCTGGTCTTGAACTCCTGAACTCAAGCAATCCTTGTGTCTCAGCCTCCCAAAGTACTGAGATTACAGACAGGAGCCACTGTGCCAGCCTTTGTTTAGATATATTTAGATACACAAAGACTTACTCTTGTAGTACAGTTGCCTATAGTATCCAGTACAGTAACATGCTGCACAGGTTTGTGTCCTAGGAGCAATAGGCTCTACCATATAGCCTAGGTGTATAGTAGTCCGTACCATCTAGGTTAGTCTGAGTACACTCTATGATGTTCACACAATGGTGAAATCACCTAATGACACATTTCTCAGAGTGCATCCCTGTCGTTAGGCAATATCTAATAGCCACGGCTTTGGTAAATGGCCATAAAATTCATATTTGTAGCAATATATGTGTTGAGGTAGACAATGATTAAGATACATTATTAAGCAAAACAACCAGAGTACATATTTAGGTTGTTTTCCCATCTTTGCTTATTACAAGCAGCATTTTAATGAGCTATCCAGTACATAATTTTTTTCATTTCCCAATTTTTAAACTATTATCTAGTTTGGCTTCAGCTGCACTGAAGTCACTCCCTGCAGTTCCCTCTCCCTAGTACTCTGCCCCTCCTTCTAGACAACTTGGTCTCCCCAAACTCCCATCTGTGTTGCACAAATCTTTCAGATCACAGGCTTTCCTTGGGTCCCTCTCCCTGCCCTAGCCTGTGAACTGCCTCCAGCAGTAAGCTGAGGTAATTTTAGGATTCACCTAATCTATTGCCCTCTTCTTGAGGGTCACAGTCTTGTTCTACTTATGTTCTGATATCTGAAAACTGTTGTATTACATACTGTATTTGGTTTTCAATTTTTTTTGAGACAGAAGAGTAAATCCAGCCCCTACTACTGCATCTCAGACAAATGCAGAAGTTCTGTCAATTTTTATTAAAGTAAATATAAATAAATTACCAAGTTAAGGCAGAGAATCACATAAACCTCCTTATTTTCTAATATAAACACAATTATTGCAATGATAGAAATGCAAAGAACTTTATAGACTGGCCAGTATCTTGTGTAATCTCAGAAGCTCTAAATATTTAACAATTTAAGAAACCAATAATTAAAAATAGTTCTACTCTTTGTTTTGTCAATGTAATTCTTAGTGGAAAAATTCTAAGACCTTTATAGCTCTATTTTGAAAACATTAAACATTGTTATATTGACCTTCCAGAAAAGCTTAAACTATAGATTAATGTCCATATTTTAATATTCAGCTATAAGTAGAATTTATATATTTTTTCATAATTAGATATGCTTTTTTTGCTTAGATATAAAGACGCTGTTACCAGTAAGCAAGCCAGAAATTCGGAGCTATTTTCCAGAAAGCTGGTTATGGGAAGTTCATTATGTTCCCACAAGGTATTATACTTCTTTTATGTTACTCAGAAAGAAATGTGGATAATGCAAGTATTATGGGCCAAAATCTTAAAACTACTCATTTCCCAACAGTTAAGAGTTAAGAAGGTTCTTTAACTTGGTCAAATTTTGTCTTGTTTTGCTTTGCTTTTTTTTTTAATGTATTTTGTTCTGATAATTGGCTCCAAGGCAGAATGAACTATTAGTGAATAAGAGTACTATTCCTTCTCATTTCATTTAATTTCCAATATGCATCTACTGCAAACAATTATGTGCTAGACACCATATTAAGCAGCAGCATTCATCCTAAAATACCAGTACTATAAAACAAACATTGATAAACAGAAAGAAAGGTTCTTTTCTTAAGTTCTCTATTTGACACATTTTAAAGAAATACCTTCCCTATAACAGGCAATGAAAACAGTGATAATAATACTGAGTTCCTGAGCCTTAGTCTTCCTATGTGGATTCAAAGCACTAGCTTTCCAATGAGAAGTCAAGAAAGGAGTTGAGAGCCCTGCAGGGGTCTCCTCCTGTGTCTCCTTGGCTCTCCTTTTGTCCCCTCTAAATCCTGCTCCACAATCTATTTCATACAACATGACCCATTAGCTAGCTCTTCCCCTGGTGAGACTTCCTACCACTGCCCTCCACCCTACCCATGACTGGATTAATTACTCCTCCTTATTAACCTGTTGCCTGTATCACATAGATTCATAATGCCCTGTTTACTTGCCTGTCTTCTACATTAAAATGGAAATACCTCAAGGGCAAAGACTAAATTCAGATTGCTGAATCTAGCCCAGGATCCAGCTAGTAGAGGCATGCAAATAAATGTGCTAAATAAATGCACACTGCTTCTGAACTCTTTTAATGTCTTACTGTTATAGTTATCACAGTGAAGTAGAATGTATTTACTTAAGTATTTCTTTCACTAGACTGTAAACTGCCTGAGAGCAGGACTATATCTTATAAGTGCTGTATACTCAGTACAGTACTTGGCACTACACCTGACACAAAGATAGTATACAATACATATACAAGCTTAATCATAATCAGAAATTTTTAGTTTTATCAACTTTGGTTGTTTTCAAAAAAATTATTTTAGAGATGAGGTCTCACTATGTTGTCCAGGGTGGTTTCAAACTCCTGGACTCAAGCAATTCTCTCACCTCAGCTTCCCAAAGGTTTGAGTTTACAGGCATGAGCCACTGCACCTGGCCAGTTTTATCAACTTTGTTATGAGCAGTATGAAGATGCATTACTTTGCTTCTCTATTTTAGAACAGACACACAATAAACACGGGTTTTTCTTTGTTTTGTATGCTTTAATTTTGCAATATTTCAAAGACATTCTTCTGAACTTGAATTCTCATCAGACAGGTGCAATGCAATGTCTGAAAACATGAAATACGTGAGGATTACTGAAAATTTTTCTTGATGAGGCTTTCCTTAATACCTGATATGATTTTGTATTGTGTTTTTTTCTCTTTCTTCTAAAGTTGTATGAAGCAAAAATTATATATTGTATGTTTCACTGTATTTTAACAACATTTTAACTTTCAGAAACCAGTTGCAGTTTACACTACCTGATTCTCTAACTACCTGGGAAATTCAGGGTGTTGGCATTTCAAATAGTGGTAAGCAGGCTTAATGTTATATATGCATTGGAGGTGTGATTTGATTAGCAAGATAAACTTCTTTATGAGTGTCTATTTTGTTTACCTTGGACTTTAGTGGTGTCATTTTAAAAAATATTCTTTTTATGTATTATCAAAAAATGTAGATATAGCCACATCTTTGAATGTATTGGTTTCTTTTTTGCTCTTCTTTTTTATTATTTATTTATTTATTTTTGTGTAGAGAAGGTGTCTCACCATGTTGCCCAGGCTGGTCTCAACTTCCTGGTCTGAAGTGATCTTTCTGCCTTGGCCTCCCAGAGTGCTGGGATTTCAAGCAGAAGCCACCAAACCTGGCCTCTTTTTGCTCTTCTGTTAGCTGTTATTTTATAAATGGCAGTGTCAAGTCCTTATTTCCTTTCACTTTTGTCTCTTACTGGGAGCTTGTGTAGAGTTGATAAATATTCTTCTGCCTTAAATCGAATTAAATATTTGTTGAACAAAAAAGTTTGCTGTTAATACTAATAATTATTGAAACAAAAGCAATAAACAGAAAATCCATGGACAAGGGATGATAGTGCAGAGAAAAACATGATCTGATATCCTTTTCTCCTTGAGGTAAAGCAAATGTGAGATCTTTTACCATTAAAGCATTATAGGAATTCCCTAATTTATTTCTCCTTCACTTTCACTTTGGCCTAAAGGTATATGTGTTGCTGATACTCTCAAGGCAAAGGTGCTCAAAGATGTCTTCCTGGAAATGAATATACCATATTCTGTTGTACGAGGGGAACAGGTCCAATTGAAAGGCACCGTTTACAACTATAGGACCTCTGGGATGCAGGTAAGTAGGTATTTATGGTATGTTAGAATACATGGGAAAAAGGAAACATTCTCTGATTTTCTAAGAATTCTATTAATGAAATGACCACACACACACACACACACACACACACACACACAAATTCAGCCAGGCGCAGTGACTCATGTTTATGATACCAGCACTTTGGGAGGTCAAGACAGGAGGATTGTTAAAGCCAGGAGTTCAAGACCAACCTGGCAACAAAGTGAGACCTCCATCTCTACAAAAAACAGAAAATATAGCCATGTATGGTGGTGTATGCCTGTAGTCTTAGCTACTCAGGAGGCTGAGGCAGAAGGATCACCTGAACCTGGGAGGTTGAGGCTGCAATGAGCCATGATTGTGCCCGCCTGTACTCTAGCCTGGGCGACAGAGCGAAACCCTGCCTAAATAAATAAACAAGTTTAAAAATAAAAATTAAACTCAGTTCAGCAATATAAGTCAAGCACTCACAACAAGTATTGTACTTACAATGAGTATCGTAGTGGATGTACAGCTTAGTAAGAGAAGGGATGAAGAAAGGAGGAAGGGTAAAGATAAGTACACATTTATATTACTTCAATTTAAAGAAGAATAAAGTACATAAGATAATCAATCTGCTGTGAAAGTTCAGAGAAAGATGAGTTCACATTTAGTTCCTTTATGACCTTGGACTCTAAGTCCCTTGATCTCCTTGACTCTAACCACTTCTTCCTTTTTTCCATTTTAGCCTCTCCTAATCATCTTCACTCTGTAGATCTTGTCATCCTTTCTGAAATGTTGATTCCAGACATCTCATATCTCACCATCCGATCAAAGTCTTCCTAGTCTTCTAATGAACCAAACTGATTGCTTCCACAGCATCCACAGCATCATTGAAACCTCCAATCCATTGACTCAGTTCCTTCTTTATTATCCAGTAGCCCCCTGCTCTTTTTACTTTAGCCCTCGTTCAGGCCAGAATTCATGAATCATCATTACAACTACACTGACTAAAATCATGCCAATTCTCTTGATCCCCTCTCACTCCAGGCTCCAGTCATATAAAACTCCAATCATGGTTGGATGCACCATTTGTTTTCTCTTTGCCAACATGCCTCTATAGAGAAATATCCAGCAGGCTGATTAATTTCACTGGAAAAATCACAATCACAAAACTTTATGTGGGAATTCAATATGGTCCAAAAATCTAACTATATTTTTAAAAGATTCTAATTTATTCTTAGAGATTAGCATTTCAGTGGTTTCCAAAAATTCTGTTTACCTACCTCTTAATTTTTTTGGAAAAACAAGGCACTCCTCTGGCACATTTTAAAGTTGACATGTAAGTTGTTTTTATTATAAGTTGAAAAAAGATGACAATCTATAACTTTGGGAATATTTAAATATTGGTATCTTAAAATAAAACTCGTGTCAAACTTTTAAAATATATTTGGCATACTCAAAATATAGCAATCTTTTAAAAAATACTCATATAAGCTCTTAACGATATTAGATTATATATCACTCTTTTTCTTAATGAATTCATATTTCTATTCCACTTTTCTAATGCTATATATTTTATGCTTAAATTTCTTCTGTTGATCACCTTATCATTCTTTGATGAAGCAAAAGTACGTACATATATTGAAAATAAAATGTTTTAAAAGTTCATGATTATAAGATCCTAAGTGTCAAATGATTGTAGATTTAGTTATTGCAAATATTATTAGCACACAATTGATAAAATAACAATGTATTATAAATTTCTAAAGTTTTTAAACATAAAAATAAAATTTTATTTAAAAATAGCCACATTAGATAAATGAAACTTTTCTCTCAATTGGTTTAATAACTGTAGATAAATATTATTTATTGCTAGAAATGAGAGTGTTTTACATAAATTTTATTCTTATTTTTCATTTTTATAGAGATAGGCATTGCTTGTTTAACCCGATATTATAAGTGAGGTTGATAAAATAAAGATATTGTCAATTTTATTACCCCTTTATCAATACATTTTTATCTTACACATCAGAGCTTCACATTTCATTTATTCCATTTATAGAATATGTTTGCCAGATAACCTAACTGGAAAAACCAGTCCTCACTGATAAAATAATCAGCCAAAATCAGACCTACTTTTTCTCATAGAAAAGTCTTTTATTTTTTAATTCAAACCATGTTAAGAGGTATCACTCCTAAAACATGTCAAGTTATAATTCAGGAGAGATAAATAAAGAGGTGGGTGCAACAGACAGGTGAGGCACAGGGACCACAGCCAAACTCCACTCAACTGGACGAATGAGGAGGTCAGCATGGGCTCATCAGCTCACCCAATCACACGCATAGAAAAAGATGTGTGTGTACATATATATGCACACTCATATGCACACATGTATACACACCTCTTTAACTATCTGTGTTTGCACTAATAATATTATTGTATATTATGAAATCTGTAAATCTTTTCCTTTCTGCCTTCTGAATTTTGTGTTTTTGGAAATCTTTCCTCACTGCAAGTTTTTAAAACTCTTTTCTATATTTTCTTCTACTAGTTTTACAGCATTTGTGAATATTTAGATTTTTTTAAATCCAAAATAAGGATCTAATCCCATTTAGACAGCCAGTTGATACAGCAGTATTTGTTAAGGAACTCATGCTTTTCCCACTAATTTAAAATGTCATCTTGCCCATATATATTGAATGTCTATAATATGTTGGTATATTTAGATTTTCTGCTTTGTTCTGTTGAACTATCAGTTTTTGTTTATACCGGTATCATACTCGTTTAAAGTACCATAGATTTGTGGTCATATTGCATACTTATTAGGTAGTCTGTTCTCAGATATTCTTATTTTTAAAATGTTTCTGGTGTTGTTATTCTTATACATTCACTCTGCCAGACAAACTTTGGAATTAGGTTATTGAATTTTAAAACTGTATTGAGATTTTGGTGGGGATCATCCTGAATTTATAAGTTGATATAAAAAAACTAACTTGCCACACTATTAAATCTTTTACATCTCTTTGTCCTTATGCTTTATATATAGATCAAGGTCAGTAATTTATGGCCCACATGCCAAATCTAGTCTGCTACCTCTTTTTTTATGACCTTTGCACTGACTTGATGCAGCATGTCAATGTGTCATACATATCACTGTGCTGCCATATTTTATTTAATCTTTAAATTAGTAGTGCATTTCCAGTCATATCAAAACAAGAAACAAGTACATCCATGGTATCTTGAGATGAGTCCCTGTTAATTACTTTTCCTCTTGAGTATGGATTACACATTCCCATTTATTTATATCTAGTAATTTTATATTAAACTTTGGATTTTATTTATTTATTTATTTATTTGGGGTTGGAGTCTCACTCCCTTGCCCAGGCTGGAGTGCAGTGGCACGCTCATGGTCACCTCAGCAATAACCTGAGGGGCTCTGGTAATCCTTCTGCCTCAGCCTTCCAAATAGCTGGAACTACAGGCGCGCACTACCATGCCTGGCTAATTTTTTATTTATTGTAGAGCTGAGATGTCACCAAGTTGCCCAAGCTGGTCTCAAAGCTGGGGGCTCAGGCAATCCACTCACCTTGGCCTCCCAAAGTGCTGGGATTACAGGCTGAGCCACCAAGCCCAGTCAACTTTGGATTTGATTAATGAAGTAGTATAAAGACTCTGGATTTTATTATGCTTCTCTGAAGACTTTTCATTTGTATGTGTTTTAGTAGGAGTTGAATTCAATCTCAAACTCTGTGAAATTTCAGTTCAGTATTTTTAGCCATAGCTGGGATGCTTGGAGTCTATATTGTGTAAAGTTCAAGGGTTGGCAAGGTTTCAGCAAAGATTATACACGGGACTTGGAACTACTTCACATTTTCATCTGTGGTGGCTTCCTCATACTCTGTCCTCTGGTTCTTCAAGCCAATAAGATGGCAGGTTCTGTTGGGATTTTAGCCACTCCTAAAGGCACCAATGGGGCCTATCCACAGGTTAAAGCTGAAAAAAATAGTACACTTACCCAGTGTCATTCCTTTCTCCCAAGTGTCACCTTCTCTTCCACTCACTAATAGATTGTTTGTTTGTTTTAATGTATATCCTGTCCAGAATTTGTGGTTATTTTTGCAAAAATATTGCCCAATATGAGCTACTTGACTGCTGCTGGATCCAGAACCACTGCCATAAGTGTTTTATTGAAATTCTTCATCAGTTTCAAAAGTTCCTTCCTATTCCCAATTTAATAAGAGTTTTTATAATTAAATTATGCTGAATTTTATCAAATGACTCTTCTATATCTATACTTCCCAACCTACTCTCACTATCCTGGGGAAATCATTGGCCACAGGTGACCCAATAACTTTCTTTAGCTCTGGCCCTACCCACCCTGTTTTTTCCCAAGAAAGTTAAGAGGAAAAAGGAACTTTCTGTTTTTGAGAAATGCCTTGAAATTAGTTGTAGAACGCTGGTGTTCTCTCTTATCTACCTGCTTGATTTATTTTGGATTTTATGGATTTATTATTTTGGGTATAGTTCTCAATTCCATCAGTTCACTAGATTTTTGGAGGGAAGATAAAAAAAAATATTCGCTATCTAGCCAGAAGTCAGGGGGCACTATTATTATTCCCATTACAAAGATGAGGAAATGGAGAATTAGAGAGTTCATGCAACCAGTTTCCATGACACAGTGAATAAGAGGAGAGCCAGGATTTGAATCTAGGTCTTTCTGGAGCCAGATTTTAGTTGTAAAATGAGGCACAGGTGGGAATTGATTAAGATTAGCAAAATAAATTGGGGACATATTGGGCAGGACCTTCAATGTTAAGGTAGAGAGTTTTCAGTTTTTCATCAAATCCTCATTTACTGAATACCAAAGGCTGAGCTAAAAGGTATGAAGAGGAATAAGACAAAAATGAACAAGTATCTGAGCCCAGGATCCACTATCTAAAATACAAACATGTAAAGAAACAGTGTAACAAGTGCTATTACAACAGCATGAGCAAAGAACTGCAGTAGTTTAGTACCTAATTTAGTAGGAAACAGTCTAAGTAAGGTGAGACATTTCTGAGCCAGTGCCGAGTTTTCATGACATCCCTTCGCATTGCTGAGCTTTACAACAACTTATCTTCCTGTTAGGAAACCTGAGATAAGCTTTCTCTTATGTCTTAGAATCTAAGGGACCATTGTTAAAGCACCAGTGGAGAGTTTGTGTCTAGATAAGCATAAGCAGGGTAAACTTTCTTAGAAATCAAGTATGTTGATATAATTCTTCACTTGTGGTATTTCAGTTCTGTGTTAAAATGTTTACTGTGGAGGGAATCTGTACGTCAGGAAGCTCCGCCACTGATCATCAGGACACGAAGCCCTCTAAGTGTGTGCTACAAAAGATAGAGGGCGTCTCCACCCACTTGGTCACCTTTAGTGTGCTTCCTCTGGAAATTGGCCTCCACAACATCAACTTTTCACTGGAGACTTCGTTTGGAAAAGAAATCTTAGTAAAAACATTACGAGTGGTGGTAAGAAAAACTGACTTTTTCTGATTCTTTTTTTAAAAACACTGTTTCATGCTGAGAAAAGTTATCAACAACTTATGCTTAAATTCCAAAAGACAGACACAAAGAAAGAAGGTAGGGAGAGAGGGAGTGAGGGAAAGAGACAGAGAGAGACAAAGCGAGAGGATAATGTAAATGTAACAAAATATTAAGTATTGAGGAGTCTAGAGGGAAGTTATCCCAGCTTTTTTGTACTATCCTTGCGTTTTTTCCTGTAAGTCTGAAATCATGCTTAAAATTTTTAAATAAAACAATAGCACTTGCTTATTATAGAAACTATGGAATCCTGAAAAACCACAGAGAAAAAAATAAAAATCATCAGTAATTCTCACACGCAGAGATACCCAATTTTAACAAGTTAATGTATATCTTCCAGGCTTTTTTTCCCTTGACACATTCGGAAACTGTCTTAGAATTTGTATCGGATATTGTGCTAGGACTAGAGAGAAAACAATAAATAAGACACAGCCCTCACTCTTAAAGAGCTTACAGCCTAGAAAATTTTCCATTTTATAAGGGAATAAACAGGCAAAAAAAAGGAAGAAAACTATCACTTGTTAAGTATATGTACCCACAGTCTGTTGAGCAAGATTAAGAAATGATTCTTATATAATTATGATTTATCAATTAAAAATAATTATTAACTTTTAAAAAATGTTCTTGTCAAGGATCATATGACTAGTTAATGATAGGATGGGTCTTCCTGGGTCTTCCTTCCCTGAGTTCTGTTTTCAGCTATGAAATTCACTCCAGTAAACCAGTACTAACTTATAGGGCATATTCCCGTGCATCCTTGCATTGTGGTTCCACACATAGGCCTTGGAGCAAGACTGCCTGGCTTTGAAGCCTGGCTCCACTACTTCCTAGCAGTGAGGCATTATGACTTGATCTCCATGTGTGTCAGTTTCCACATCTATCAAATGGGAGTCATCACAGCACTCACCTTATGGAGTATATCAGAGGTTAAATGAGCTAATACATACAAAGCACTTAGACTAATGACCTGGCTTATAATAACTTCTACTTAAGTGTTTGCTCTGATCAATGTGCAAATAGCCATAAAAATCTTATTCCTGTATGCATGCATATGAGCACGTATATGTATTTTGCTTTTCCAAAAAGAAAAAAAAGTTTTTAATTGGAAAAGAGAGCCAGAAAAACTGACCCAGGGAATTCAGGTTATATAAACTTAATTATATTCTTAACTGAGTGTTTTCTGCCTTTATTTTAGCCAGAAGGTGTCAAAAGGGAAAGTTATTCTGGTGTTACTTTGGACCCTAAGGGTATTTATGGTATGCAAATGATTTTTTATTTTATATGTTGTCTTTTTGTTCTAGAAATTAAAGTTCTATATAACTCAAAACACTATTTTTCAGAGTATTAATTGTCTAGAATAGGAAATATCCTCTTCCTAGGTCATTGCCTTTCTTGATGACATTTGTTGTACTATAATCTGGATGACTGAGACCCCAAAAAATTCCATTAATTTTAAATGCAACATGCTGAAATAGCAATAACTGCATGACCTCCCTTATAGATTAGTCATTTTCTATCCATCACAATAAGAATTTATACTATCATTTTAGAACATACAAAGGACATCTAAGAAAAGTTATTTACATAATAATTTAACGTATTATTTGAAAGTACAGTAATGCTGATTAATCACTTAACCCCATTTCTCATTGCTCCTGCTTCCCTGCTTTTCCTTCAACTGAGATACTCTGAATCTTCTCAAAGCTAGAGTTTTGCAAACATTTGAACACTGAATCAAGGCCTATATATGTATTTTGTACTTATGAAAGTTAAAATGTTCCCAGTTGACAATTCTTTTCTTTTCAACTTAAAGAAAATAGAAATGGTAATAATTTATCTTACTGGTGTATCAAATCTTTTTTTTCCAGAGATACAGCATTGGGGGGAAATGTTACTTACAAATCATGATCACTATACTTATCGTATAATTTTCTCGAGAAAAGCAAATAATTTATACCCTTTACATTTTAAATCAACTGAGTATCAGGAAATGAAGGTGGATGACTTCAGAGTAATGAAAAGAAAACTCTATCCTATGTAAATATATCCACATGCTAACTCTTTCCTCTGATTTTACCTTCACACAGACCTCCTCCCCACCTGCTCATTGTGAACAATCTATTTGTGGGTAGAGATATTACAAGTTCAGGAGGTTTTTGGCTTCATTCAGTTACATCAAGCCTCAGAGTCGCTGTGTCCTTTGGCTTTTTTTTTCCCCCCACAACTTATGCCTCCTGTACTGACACTGCAGTTTTCCAAAGCATCCCTGTCTTACTCATTCTAGATGTGAGCACCAAGGTCACAGGATGGAAATTAACTTTTGTCTGAGAATAAATCTCTCGAGAAAATTTTGGTTTAAAAAAAATCTAAACCTCTTTTTAGTCTTGTCATATGTCTTTTTTCCTTATCATTTTAGGCTACTTAGATTTAGGCAACTTTTTTGCTTTCTAGAAAGATAAAGAGGGAGAGGATGACAAGTGCCCAGGGAATTTCAGAGATTTTTGTTAAATACTTCCAATATTTGTATATTGAAATTGCTATACCAGTATGATACTTTACGGAATTCAGTTTTTTAAAAGGCTAGATGTATTTGGTAAAATCGAATGGACAATAATGTTAAAGGAAATCTGAAAAAAATATACCAGTGAGGGAGAATGAGGTCTCAGAATTAAATGTTGTGATACCAGCATAAAAAGAGACTAAACACAGAGAATCAGTGCTCAAGTCCATCTCCTATCTTTATTTCTGCTTTCTTTCACCGACAAGTCATTTTCTCTGAACTCTTCTACTATCTCAGATGCAGAGAGTTAAGCTTCTCATCCCCTGACACACCATCATCATTGATCTGGGCAGACCTCTCTCAAGTTTTATTTTTTTCCTTTATCCCTGACCCCATTTCCTCCCCCCTCCTCCAAATTCATCCACTCAAATGTGTTTGAAGGGTGCTATTGAATAGAGAAGCAATGTTGTTTTGGGTGTATATATCTTTTCAATATGTATAATATAAAATGTATTGTGCTATAAATGCTATCCTATTTCTTAAGTTTTTAAACTCAATATTCAATTTTAAAGAAATATCTCTATTACTATATGTACATTTAACTCATTTCTTCTTAAATAGAATTTCAGCCTGTGTTCCTCCGTCATTTTACTTATCCATCCCCTAGAGATAGATTTCTCTCTCGCATAACAGCACTGCAGTGAACATGTCCATGTATTTCCCTTGAAAAATCCATGTTGGCTCTTATCTGGACTGTATATCCAGAAGTGGGACTGTTGTACCAAAGGGCACACACATGTTTAATACCATTTACTTCTGACATATTGTTCTTCAGAACGACTATCCTTCCACCAGCAGTGCATGGGGGTTCTTGTCTCTCCACTGCCTCACCAACATTTGGTATGACTTGTCTATCTAAAATATGGCATTTTTGATGGGTATAAAGTGATATCTCATTATTGTTTTAATTTGGATTCTTCTGTTTACTGGTGAATTTAAGCATTCTTCATATTCAGTAAGTCCCCTACATATGAATCTTCAAGTTGCTAACTTTCAAAGATGTGAACGTGTGTTTGCATGTCCAGTCATGTGAGTTCACGCGCTGGTGTACATTGTCACATGTGTGCATCCTCTACAAGCAGTTGTGTTTTTGTGTACTTTACTGTACAGTACTGTTTAGAGTGCAGTAGTATTTATGTCAAGCCCAGAATGTCTGGAAGCAAGCATAAAAGCGGCAGTGATGTAGCTGGTACTATACAGCTAATTGTGGTAGTTGGGTACTTAGGCAAACCTGTTAGACTTAGGAACAAATTGGACTTAACCAATACGCTCTTAGAATAGAACTCATTCGTATGTAGGGGACTTACTGTACTTGTTGGCTGTTTGGATTCCCCATGTGTAAATTGTCTATTCATATCTTTTGCACTTTGTTTTTTTCTTTTGGGTTTTCTTATTTATTTCTTCTTGATTTTGTCTCTGATGTACTTCTTTAAGCAACAATGAACCTTTGGGGGTTTGAAAAGGAATCCTTTATTCTAATATAGTTAGATTCATTATAATTTAATCTCATAGTTTTACATTATATATTTTGAATTCTATATTTTGTATTTATATATAGAGAGAGGGTAATATTTAAGAAGTCTTTCTCCTCCTTTAGTTCACAAAGACATTGCAGGATATTTTGTTCTATTAATTTTACAAATTTGGCTTTAAAATGTTTTAATCTTTCCAGAATCTACCTTGATATGTGATGTCTTTATGGGCCTTTTGTCATGAACACTGGCAAAGAGTAAAATTGACTTCTTTTAATTTTAACTTTCTTCTTTTTATCATTTCAACCTGGTAGTGGAGTTGCCAGTGAGAACTGAAATAGTCAAGAGCAGGTATCAATGGAGAAAATGATGGAGGATTAAATCTAGATAATTTCAAACAACCTCTCAGTAATAAGTACCACATATTGAGCATGAATTGTTTGCCAGGCACTTCGTCTGTATTATTTTTACCCTCACAAGCATCCTTTGAGGAAAATATTATTACCTCCACTTAACTGATGAACAAATTGAGGCCTAGAAAAGTTGTGTCTTGCCCAGTGTCACATACATGGAAGCTTTCTGAGCTCCATGCTGTTTCAGCCACACTGCAAACCTCTTACATGTCTTAGTTTTATTTTGATGCTATGTATACTTAACATTTATCAACAGTTCATGAAGAAAGACAGTTCATGTGGCATATTCCCACGCCTTCAGCAAAATCCTGTGGCTTGTCCACTTAATCGCAAAATATCACTCCTTTTTTTTAAATTTTTTTTTTGAGTTGGAGTCTCACTCGGTCATCCAGACTGGAGTGCAGTGGCCGCTCCCGGCCACCGCAGCCTCACCTGCTGAGCTCCGGCGATCCTTCCGCCTCAGCCTTCCGAGTAGCCGGAATTACAGGCGCGCGCTACCAAGCCTGGCTGATTTTTTTTTTTTTTTTTTTTGTAGAGATGAGGTCTCGCTGCCTGGGCGGGTCTCAAACCCGCAGACTCAGGCAGTCCACTAGCCTCAGCGGGATTACAGGCGCGGGATTACAGGCTGAGCCACCGAGCCCGGCAATCACTACTTTTTTAAAGCATCTTCCATGTACGTGGGACCGTGTCAAGTGCTGGTACTACAACTTGAATAAGAGATGATTCCCGTCCTCAAAGAGCTTTCCTAGCAGAACAGTGGGAGATAGATTCTCTTTGTGGTGACTACTGTGGGCTCTGTGGTAAAACTTTCTGAGTTCAGATTGTAGCTCCACCTGTACTAGTTCTGTGCCCTTGAGCAAATTGCATTCTAAGCCTCAATTTCCTCACCTATAAAATCAAAATAATAAAAATAGACCTAGCATAAAGGGCTGTTGGGAGGATCCAGTGTAATAATGCATTTAATGAGCATAGTAGAATGTTTGGTACTCTATCAGTAGAATGATGTGTTATCACTTTTATGACTTAAACTAGTGATTACAATGGAAAAATTATCTGACACCAGTATGCTAAAATTCTATTTTTGTGTGCATAGAGAAAAGGAGGGAAAGTAGAAGGAATTTCAGGCCATACTTCCCAGTGGAGTTCATATTCATATGTCCTTGACTAAGAAATTACATATTCGTTACTTTTCGATTTCCGTTCCAAGAACTATTTTCTCTCTGGACAAAAATGGCACCTTCCACTGGTGAATAAGATTTATATAACCTATTTTTTAAATATATTATAATGGTCAGGAAGCTTACAGACAAATGTAATGCTTTATTTAATGAGGTTATACAAGCCTAGGGTTTGATACAAATCCTTGATGATTTTTAACTCTCTTTTTCAATTTTAATAGTCTTATTATAAAAGAGTCTTTGATTTTGAAGAATTCTTGGGAAGTAGATATATTACAAATAATCTGCAAGTAATTTTCCCTAGAAACTGTGTAAATACTAATTTTTTAAATTACAGGTGCCATTAGCAGACGAAAGGAGTTCCCATACAGGGTACCATTAGATTTGGTCCCCAAAACAAAAGTCAAAAGGATTTTGAGTATAAAAGGTAAATTAACAAATGCCCTTTTCATTTCTTGTTTTACTTATTTTATTTCCTATTTTACTTTCATTTCTTATTGCCACTTTGATTAATTTCTTAAATAAAATATCTTCATGATTATTCTATTTCTCTACTTCCTTGCTCACTAGCAAGCAAAAATCTGCCTTTGGGGGGTAACTTTCTCCCACCTACACCCACCTTCAATTCTTTGATTATTTTTCCAAGTGTCTTCTTCTAGTGGCCTGATTTAAATGGACATTCATTCTCCTATGATGGAGGGTGGGAGCTGTTACTGGCCCAAAGGCACTCCTAAAATGGGAGTGCAGCTGCTTCTAGACTTGAAGAACTTTCCATTGTTTTAGTGGCCAGTCCTGCTCCAGAGAAGGCTTTATGACGGGCAAATGACCTCAAGAGAGCAGCATAGCTCTACTGAAGTACCAGTTACAGAAGGGTTGCCTCAGTCCATTTATGCTGCTATAACAAAATAACACAATATACCAAGAACATACATTTGCTCCTAATAGTTCTGGAGTCAGGGAAGTCCAAGATTAAGGTGCAAGCAAATTTGGTATTTGGCAAGGGATGCTGTCTTCTTCCAAGATGGTGTCTTGTTGCTGCATCTTCACAAGGCAGAAGTGTAACAGCAAAAAGGTAAAAGGTGATGAATAATTCACATCTTTTTTATAAGGTCATTAGTCCTATTCTTGAAGGTGGCGCCCTTATAACCTAATCAGCTTTCAAAAAGTCCTACCTTCTAATGCCATTGCCTTGGTGATTAAGTGTCAATATATGAATTTTGGAGGGTCACATACATTCAAACCGTTCTCCCCTTCCAGTATATTTGTAGAAGTGACTTCTTTGGTGGGTTTTCCCCAATCTCTAGCCTTTACAATTCAATAACATTATCAAAATGATAGAATATCCTGACTGTATTTTACCTAAGATAAAACTTGGAATTACAGATGTTAGTACTGGAAAGAAGCTTCTGATCATGTGCAACTCTTTTTGGATATAAAAGAAAGTGGCATGCTCAAGTTTGCAGAGTGAGTTATAGACAGAATGGTAACAGCATTCCCTGTTCAGCCTCTTTGCTTTGCTTCCTGGGTGGGATTGGTTAATATGGCTTATAATGCCTAAAGCTATCAAGTTGAATGACCAACTAATTTGCCGTGTTCTTTTCCAGCAATCTATCCACTGTATTACACTATCTACCACCATGTTTTAGTGATATTTGTAAGACTTCTTTTTCTTTTCATTTGAATTCATGTTCCTAATCAGATCTTTTTCGCACCCCATTACTGAGAGGCAAGTCAATTGCCTAGACTGAAAGGGAAGAATAGAGATGATTGTTCTTCCCTCTTCAGAATATACTGTTCGAAGTTGGTAGAAGGTAGTTGTGTCTACTTTGATTTCTTTTGTTTTTCAGGGATGCTTATAGGTGAGGTCCTGTCTGCAGTTCTAAGTCAGGAAGGCATAGATATCCTAACCCACCTACCCAAGGGGAGTGCAGAGGCGGAGCTAATGAGCATTGTTCCAGTGTTCTACGTGTTTCACTACCTGGAAGCAGGAAATCATTGGAACATATTTCATTCTGACTCATTAACTGAAAAACAGAACCTGGAGAAAAAATTAAAAGAAGGTAAAAAAAAAATTATTTCACATAAAAATGTTGTGATTTTTAAATTAATTTTTAATTAAACTAATATTTAAGATGCTATGAATTGCATAAAAGTTTAATTATAAAAGCATTTTAGAAAACAAAACAAAAAACCATGAGGTATACTCTACTGTATAAATAAACACTATTTCTATTGCACTTTGGCTTAACTTACCAAAATGCCTGGATGGGAGACAAGACACCTACATTCCAAGCTTGACAGAACACTTCCTTCCTCTTTGAATGAGATCAGAATGTTCTGCTTGACAATTCTCAATCCAAGCCACTCATATACTTCCCTGAGAAGTGCAGTGTTGGCCACAGAGTACATGTTTGCTGCCCAACCCCGGATGAAGTTCCCCATTCCCAGGGGGTGATTAAACGCTTTTTGAGTAGAAATGGAGGTCAGTGAAGCACTGTTTTTTTTTCCTGGTGCCTCTTAGGGATGGTGAGCATTACGTCCTACAGAAATGCTGACTATTCTTACAGTGTGTGGAAGGGCGGAAGTGCTAGCACGTGGTAAGTAGACTTTGACTTGTGTTTTTGTCTTGCTGTTGACTAACTCAAGAATAGCCGCCATAATGGAAACTTTCTTCCTTCTGTTGCTCAGGCTAAAAGCCTAGTCCTCCTTCACTCTTCTCTTTCTTACCATCTACATTTAATCCAGCAGATATGTTCAGCTGCACCTTAAAAATATATCCTGAATTGGATAACTTCGCACCAACTCCACCCACCATCCTAGTGCAAGCCACTTTCCTCTCTTACCTGGTTTATTGTACTAGCCTCCTCTGGTCTTCTGGCTTCAACCCTTGATCCTCTTCCATCTGTATTCACTACAGCAGCTAGAGTGACCCTGTTGAAACATGCGTTAGGTCACACCACTCAAAACCAATTAGGAGCTTCCCATCTTACTCAGGGTACAAACCAATCTTTTTCTGGTGATCTGCAAAGTTTTATACGATCTAGCCCCATCTCACGTCTCCCACTTTATCTCCTACACTCTCCTTCCTTCCACATCAGCATCACTGGTCTTCCTCAAACCCACCAGGCATGCTTCCACCTCAGGGCCTTTGCACCGACTGTTCCCTGTGTCTGGAATGCTCCTCCCTTGGTATCAGCATGTATGGTTCCCTCAGGTCTTTACCAAAGGTCACCTTCTCAGTGAGACCTCTACTAACTTGTAAAATTGCAACATGCTTCCATCCCAACATTTCATATCCTTCTCCCCTATGCTTCTTTTCTCCTTAGCATTATTAACAACATGTTTACTTATTCCACAGTTATCTGTCTCCTTCACTAGAATATAAGCCCCATGTGGGCAGTTCTAAGTATCCCTAGTGCCTGGTACATACCTGGCACATAGTACATGCTCAATAAGTATTTATTTAAAAAAATAACTTCCATAATTCTGATGATTTGAGGGAAAGAGACCCTGAATTCATTAAAAGTTCACATGGCAGTCTACTTTCAAAAATTGCTGTCATGCTTTGACAAAATATTTAAAGAAGACAGTGTGCCAGGTGTTATGTGTATTCTATATGAAATACATTTAAGAAGTTTACAACCTAGAATAATTTAATTTTAGGCTTTTCTCTTTAGCTATTGAGAGTCCCAAAATTTCATCTCTGGCTTTCCTATATTCTGTGATCTCTTCCTGTACAAATTTCATTTTTACCCATGACTCTCATAACATCTAGGCCAATGACTACCTAATCAATGTCTAAGGCTTCTTTCCCAAGCTCCAGGGCCACATTTCTAGGTGTCTGGGAACCAAAGACCCTTTAAAAACAATATGTGTCAAACTCATTCTTTTTTCTTTCTCAAATGCACTTCTCTGTTTTTTAATCAGTGCACAGCAATACCCTACCCCTGTGCCCCCCACAAATCAAGTCAGAATCATTAGTTGGTTTGTGACTCCTCCCTTTTTTTGGCTCTAGCTCCAATCAGTTAGCTAGTATCACAGATTATAACTTAGAATTAGGTCTGATCATGAGTGGTGCACTTTAAAAGACATACAGAGAAGGCCGAGCTCGGTGGCTCAGCCTGTAATCCCAGCACTTTGGGAGGCTGAGGTGAGTGGATTGCCTGAGCCTGCGGGTTCGAGACTCGCCTGGGCAACTTGGTGAGACCTCATCTCTACAATAAATAAAAAATCAGCCGGGCGTGGTAGCGCACGCCTGTAGTTCCAGTTACTTGGAAGGCTGAGGCGGAAGGATCGCCGGAGCCCAGCAGTTCGAGGCTGCGGTGGCCGGGAGCGGCCACTGCACTCCAGTCTGGGCGACAGAGTGAGACTCCAACTCAAAAAAAAAAAAAAAAAATTGGAGACACCTGTTATCAACAAGGGGGCCTAAATGAAGCATATTTGTATACCTAACCCTTAACTGTACCCCACAATATCAAAATAAAAAATATTGATAAAAAAAAAAAGACATATAGACCCCTGGAGCATGCCAACCAGAAGATGCCCCCAGGATACAGGACTAGGGGTGAGTGTCAATGAAGACTGGAAATTGCCACAACAGGACCTGGAAATAGAATCTTGAACAAAAATCTCCACAGAAAGCCACAACAACCACTCTTGGCATACACCCAGAGCCTTTGGAGAGTTTGGGGCAAAACTGAGCAGTGTTTAGTCAGAAACGCAGCAACACTTGAGTAATGTAGACCTAACTCCACAAGCTCCTTGAAAGGAATAATATACTTAGAAGAAAACTTTCAGTACCTAAGTAACCTTAAACATTTTTTGAGAAATACGGAAAAGATACAAAAGAGTACAAATATCATTCATATTACCAAAAGCCAAAATTAATGATTGTGTACAGTTTTTATATTAGCTTAGCTTCCCCCTCTCCCCCACAGGACAGAATAAACTATTTTATTTTGTTTATTGATTTTTGATTGGGGTCTTACTCTGTCACCCAGGCTAGAATGCAGTGGCACAAACATGGCTCACTGCTGCCTCGACCTCCTGGGCTCTGGTAGTCCTTCCACCTCAGCCTCCTGAGTAGCTGGGACTACAGTCTCAGGCCACTATACCCAGTTCTTTTTTTTTTTTTGTAGAGACACGGTCTCACTATGCTGTTCACACTGGTCCTCCTACCTCAATTTCCCAAAGTGCTGGGATTACAGGCGTGAGTCACCATGCCTGGCAACACATTATTCTTTAAAAAACAACATTACAGATATAGTTCAAGTTTTGCCTTTAACCACAATCTTTCATCTTATTCCTGTCTACTTTCCTCAAAGGCATTCTCTATCATGAGTTTGTACATCTTTCCAGACCACTTTAAATCTTTTATGTACATATGTATGAATTTACACAGTCTCTTTTTGTGTTTAAATGATCATAACTAGTAGCCTATATCTATTATTCTGCAACTTGACTTTTTCCCTCAATATTTGGTTTTTTTAGACTTAGCAATAGAGTAAATCCACTATATACGAACGAGTTCCATTCTAAGAGTGCATTCATAAGTCCAATTTGCTCGTAAGTCCAACTAGGTGCCCAGCTAACACAACTGGCTATACAGTACCAGCCATATCACCACTGCTTTCATGCTTGCTTCCAGACATCCTGGGCTTGAAATAAAGATACTGTACTACTGTACTCTATACAGTATTATACAGTAACACACACACAAAATAAGAACCACTTGTAGAGGATGAATACATGTGACAATTATGCCAGACATGTGAACTAACTTGTGTGATTGGACATGCAAACACACATTCACATCTTTGAAAGTTCACAACTTGAAAGTTTGTATGTAGGAGACTTATGGTATAGGTAAGTCTGGATCATTCCTTCTTGATGCCATGCTGTAATTTACTTTTACAAATATACCACATATGTTCTTTATTCCCGTTTTGATAGCCTATCATTTTGAAATTTTACTGTCACAAACAATGTGGTAATGAACATCTCCAAATGTCTTTTTGTGCACATATGTGAGAGTATCGCTAGGATATATTCCATCTCAGGAGATGGAATTGCTGGGATATAAGACATGCACATTTTCAGTGTTATCAGATTTTGTCACATTTCTCTTCAAGGTGACTTTATAAATTGTTTTCTACTATAAATTTTTAGTCCCAAAACCCTATTGTAAAACTTGAGGAACTAAACTAGACTATATGAAAAACTTATATAGTCTAGGATCTAGAACTAAAGCAAGTAAAATAGCTTATTCTTTCTCTTTTCCTCCCAATCATACTTCAACTTTGAGTTTCAGGCCAGTCTTCAACAGACAGTGAGTCAGTGAGAAGAGGAAAACACAAAAAGCTAGAAAAAGATATAATGTTTTACTGCTAGAGAAGAATTGTCTAGACACTCACTTCCTGAGGGCTGTAGGGCTGGGGCACTCAGGAATATCAAAGAGAGAGAGATAAGAGTAAGAGTTTACACCTATTGAATACTTACTAGAAGCCAGAACTATTTTAAGTGTGTTCATATACATAACCCTTATTATTAATCCCAGGAGGTTAATGAATTTTTTTCTATGTATTGTCATTGCCATTTTTCAAAAATGAAACTGAAGAACAGAGAAGATTCATAATTGGCTAAATAGTTAATGAGTGGAGAGAGAGTCTAACTTTATGACCACACCCGTATGTCTCTCTAGCCTGCTAAAAGAAGAGAGACTTCCAAAAGCCAAAATCCTCAGAAAGCCCCAATATAAGATGTGGACCAATCCTTGAAAATGTGAATGTGTTTGAACATGACCAATCCATAGAAATAGTCCTCCTCCATGGAGCAGCAAAGGGAATTAAAAGGAGAGGAGCTCTTAATTCCTTTTCCTGAAAGTCAATAGAATAGAAAATAAACTTCTAATGTCTTCAGAGAAAGAATCAGAAAAAGGCACCTAGTTGTAGAGAAGCAAGTTCCACTTAATATTTTTTTAAAAAGCAATTCAAGCAGATATTGAGAACAGCATAATGTTTATTGATAGGGAAATAACTAAGATAGTTTTGGTGCATCTGTACCCAAATACTGTGATTGAATGTACAAAATCATTTGCAAAAGAGTGAGGAAAATGTATGTATTGATATAGACCTCTACCTGGGCACAGTGGCTTATGCCTGTAATCCCAGCACATTAGGAGGCCAAGGTGCGAGGATTGCTTGAGGTCAGGAGTTCAAGTGCATGTACACACACACACACACACACACACACACACACACACACACACACACGGTGCCAACAAAATGTATGCACATTTTAAGAAAGGAAAAAACTGTATTAAAATTGTAATACTCAATATATACCGATAACAAAAGATGAATACAAGTTACATTTGACTTCTGCAGTTACAAGAGGTATTCAAAGTGGTTACCATCACTATCCAGACACTTCTGATTACAGTGAACTAAAAGTAATACATAGATACACCTCTTAAAATGCATACATTTTTGGCACCCTCAATATATATATGGTACATTATTAAAGAAAGAAAGCCAGATAGAGGAATATTATCCTTCCATTTTAGTGTGGTTGGGATGGAAAGGTCAACAGGAAGACCATCTGCTTGCATTTACTATTTAGAAAAATACACAAGAAACAACAGACACCTTCTGTGGGGCGTGGGGACAGGAGCCAGAAGGAGACTTTTTATTATGTATCCCTTTATACTTTCGGATTTTTGAATCGTATGAAGGTTTTACCTCTTGGATTAAAATTACTTAAACTACATTTAAAAATATAAAACATATTTTAGAAGTGAGGGGAAGTGGAGCAGGGGGAGGTCAAGTGGCCTGAGTCTCAGACTCTGAGGTGCTGGAGAGTCAGGGCTCCTGGGCAGCTGAGAGAGTGAGGAGGCATAGTGGGGGGTATGAATTCAACCCTCTCTGATACTCCTTGATACATATTAGTAGAGACTGAAATTGATTTTTGACTAAGGGTTATGGTGATTGACGCTTCCTTGTGAAGTAGTGAGTTCTGTGTCAATGACATAACTCAAGGGTAAATAAGATAAACACTCTGGGGAATGCTGGCAAAGAGAACTCGGGCCTCAGTTAGAAATTTAAATTCTATGGCATGTACAAAGTTTACAATCTGGAATTTAATTATTTTACTTCTCCACGTTTCTTGTGCATGGGTCAGTGCCTTGACTGTAAACTATTTAATTCATTCACCCCGATACCTTTAGCTTTAGGAAACTATTTTTAGCATGTGTGCTAGCTAACAGTGTTGTAGTCGTAGAAGATGTGCTATTCACATTTGTTGACTGGATATTTTGGGGTTCTTCCAAAAATCTTCTCTTCTCTGGTAAAATGGTGACTTACTTTGGAATTGTATATTTTAAATGGTTATTTTCCAAATAAAAAGTACAATCCCATTCAAAATAGCCACAAAAAAATGAAATACCTTGGCATAGGAAGATGCCAAGGTATTTCATTTTGACATCAACATTGTTAAGATGTCCATCCTATTAAAGGCAATGTTGTTAAGATGTCAACATTGTTAAGATGTCCATCCTACCAAAGGCAAACTATAGATTTAACGCAGTACCAATTAAATTACCAGCAGCGTTCTTCTCAGACCTGGAAAAGACAATACAGAAACTCATATGGAAATATAAAAGACCATGAATAGCCAAAGCCATCCTTAGCAAAAGAAACAAAGCAGGAGATATCACACTTCCAGATTTCAAACTCTACTATAAAGCTACAATAATCGAAACAGGCTGCTATTGGTACAAGAACAGGAATATTGACCAGTGGAACAGGATGAAAGATTCCAGAAGCAAAACCTCAATTTCTTAACCAACTCATTTTCAACAAAGCTTCCATCAACAACCAATGGGAAGAGGAAAACCTATTAAGTAAATGATGCTGGGAAAACTGACTGACCACAGGCAGAAGATTGAAACAACACCCCTATCTATCACCATACACAAAAAATCAACTCTAAGTGGATCAAAGACCTAAATGAAAAACCTCAAACTATAAGAATCCTAGAAGAAAATGTAGGAAATATCCTTACAGAAATTGGAATAGGTACCAATTCCTGATCAACTCGCCAAAAGTGATTGCCATAAAAGATAAGATACGCAAGTGGGACCCCATCAAACTGAAAGTCTTCTGCAAAGCAAAAGAAACCATCAAGAAAGTGGGGAGACAGCCCACAGAATGGGAAAAAATATTTTCCAACTGTAAATCTGACAAAGGCCTAACTTCCAGTATCTACAAGGAACTCAAACGTGCTGAAAGGCGGGGGGAACTATTGAAAAACAGGCAAAAAATATGAATAGACAATGCTCAGAAGAAGACATATGAGCAGCCAACAGATACATGAAAAAATGCTCAGCTTCACTAATCATCAAAAAAACATAAATTAAAACCACAATGAGATACCACCTACCTCCAGTCAGGTTGACCATCATCAATAACAAAAACAGCAGATGCTGGAGACGATGTGGGGAAAAGGGAACACTTGTACACTGTTGGTGGGAATGAACTAGTACAACCTCTGTGGAAAACAGTGTGGCAAAACTTCTAAAAAATCTGAAAATCAGCCTTCCATACAACCCAGCTATCCCCTTCTGGGAATATATCCAGAGGAACTCAAATCACTCTATGAAAAAGATACCTGCACACATATGTTTATTGCAGCATTGTTCACAATAGCAAAAACGTGGAACCAACTGTGCAGCCCATCGAAAGGGGAGTGGATTAAAAAAATGTGGTACATATACATGATGGAATATTATGCAGCCATAAAGAAAAACAAAATTATGAACTTTACAGCAACCTGGAGGGAATTAGAGTCCATAATACTCAGTGATTTATCACAAAAACAAATATCTGAGTACCACATGTTCTCACTCATAAGTGGAACCTGAACATTTATCATAATACTGTAAGAAAGAGATTGACAGTAGTGGGACAGTGCCGGGGGGGGCACATAACATCAATAAGGGTACCCACACCTTACCTGTATGATGACCACGTAATGATGACCACGTATGTACCTAACCCTGAATTGTAGCCACATTTTTAAAATTAAAAAATTGGGTTGTTTTAACACAATTTACATATTCTGGATGTATATAAATATATAATAAGATATATAAATGTATCTGAATGTATGTATATATATATTTATATATATTCTGGATATTAGGGGTTTTTAATTAGATCACTTTTTCAGTCTGTGGCTTGTATTTTTTTTTTCTTATCTTAACAGTGTCTTTCAAAGAAAAGCTTATAATGCTGAAATCCAGTTAATCAATTTGTTCTTATGTGGATTATTCTTTTGGTGTTCTAAGAAATGTTTCCCTGGGTCGGTTGCAGTGGCTCAAGCCTGCAATCCCAGCATTTTGGGAGGCCGAGGTGATTAATAGTTTTAGATGGTACATTTAGGTCTATAACACCTTTAAGTTAATTATTTTTTATATTATACAGTATATAGATTGAAATATTTTTGTTGCATATGAATATCCAATTGTTCTAGCACCATTTGTTGAAAAGGTTATCATTAGTCCACCGAATTGCATTTGTGCCTTTGTCAGAAATTGGTTGTCAATATAAATATGTGGGCTTATTTCTGGATTTGTTTTTATTTCATTGATTTGTTTGCTTTTAACACCATGAATGCCTTATCTTGTTTAAGTTTATTATAAATATTGAGCTCGGAAAAAAACTGTAATTTTCTTTTAAAGAATAAAATTCTATAAACGAAAACACCCTACTATAAATTAAAAACCAAAGGGATTCAGTATTCTAAATGTTTATTTGATTTTGTGTTAAAGGTTAACAGCTTTTACTTTAAGAGTACTTGGACAAGTAAATAAGTATGTCAAGCAAAACCAAAATTCAATTTGTAATTCTTTATTGTGGCTGGTTGAGAATTGTCAATTAGAAAATGGATCCTTCAAGGAAAATTCCCAGTATCAACCAATAAAATTACAGGTAAGGAAGCCAAATGTACAAATTAGCAGTAGTTTTATTTATGAGTCTGAGTCTCATTCTCATCCTATTATGAGAGGTGAAGAAAAATAGAGAAAAAAATGTATGTAATCCTGTAAGAAACTACTTTTGTGAACAAGCAAAGAATACAAAGTTCTTCCTATACTACCTGAAGTGAAAAGATCTTCAGACCGTTCACTAGAGGTCAGGTAAATGATATCTTAACTATCTCATTAAATAGACACTTGCAGTTCACAGGGCATAAATTTCAGAGATCTTAGAATGAGTAACATGTACTAATTTGTCTGCTTATCCTTGATATGGAATCTATATCCGAAGTTCAGAGCCTTCATACAGGTCAGGGTTACAAGGTGCTATCATTAAAGATGGGACCCTAGCCGGGCTCGGTGGCTCAGCCTGTAATCCCGCGCCTTTGGGAGGCCGAGGTGAGTGGATTGCCTGAGCCCGTGGGTTCGAGACCCGCCTGGGCAGCAGGACCTCATCTCTACAATAAATCAAAAAATCAGCCGGGCGTGGTAGTGCATGCCTGTGATTCTGGCTACTTGGAAGGCTGAGGCGGAAGGATCGCTGGAGCCTAGCAGGTCGAGGCTGCGGTGGCCGGGAGT